TCTTGTTCAAGAATGTACGGGTCAGATGTTCAAATTAGCTGACCAGTTACTCTCATTTTGTAATAAAATAATAACATTTTAGAACTGGAAGAAACATAAGAGATTATTTACTTCTGCCTGTGTTTATTAGATGTTGTTGATAACACCCTTTTCATCATGGTCAAGTACAAATATGATCACAAACATTAGTTTTTATTACTGAATATGGATAAAACTTCTGGGACTTTTTTAAAGTTTGCTTCCACTTGTTTCCTACCTTTGCATATTAATTCAGAACTAGAATCCTCAGTTATATACTCTAGGCCAAGGCAGAATAATATTAAAATGATTATGACACTACATCATCCATTTTCATAATTAGGAAACAAATTCTGATAAAATCAAGACTATTATACTTTATGTAGTAAGTCAAGAGAAAAACCATGATAATTTTGTGCTTTAATGCATACATCTTGTTGCACAAAAATAGTTTTTACATAGAAAAAAGTTGCCAAGGATTCCATAGCTCATAGTTACATTGTTGGGACATTGGGGTGATTTTCTCTCTTGTTTTTTTTTTCCCAAGATATCTATTTAAGATCAGAAAACTGATTTCTAGACAGGATCAAACATGTAGATTTAACTCCATATTCAAGCTGACTTTTTGTAAAGATAGTCAATTTAGAACTATGTTTTCTTTATTTGTCCTCAGTAAGAAGGAATTGTACATTCATTTACTCTCAACCCTGTCATTTTTCCCTAACATCTTGTTTTTTTTCCTTTTTCTACTCTAACTGCACCTTAATTTTTGCTATAATTTCATATTGCATGCATCTTCATAAATTTCCTTCAAAATGCTCTGTAATAAATTAGAGTAACAATGTGAATATTCTGTGTGGTAAATAAAACAGTAATATACTTATTCCTTTCCTTTTAGAATTAGGAATACTTCCAAGCAGAAGTCACCAACAGAGTTTCCTTGCCATGTGCCTCTCCCACCACTGCCCCCATCAACACCAGTATGTGTAAAACAGCATATTAAGCCAACTACAATCTCTAACATGCAATGTGGTTGCTCATTTGGAAGATGAAGCACCCAGATGCTGCAGTGATAACATGTTTCTTAGTATTCAAGAGATTTAACAAAATACGTAAACACACATGGAACAAGAAAAACTATGACAATTATGGGCCTGAATAAATACAAATATCCTTATTTGTATTAATAAATAAAAAAATCCTTATTTGTATTTATTATGAACATAAAATATGCTTGAAGTGTTTGACAACAAAGCATGACAGCACCTGCCCTCTTCTATTATGAAGATCAAATACAGGTCAAGAAATATATAAATTCTCAGGCTAATTTTTCATAAATTCCTTGCTTTTGTCTTACATCTTAGTCTCTAAGTGGAAGAAAGGCCTGATAGTGAATGGAGAAGAAAAGTCTCTACTGTCATCTATATAACATAAGCATAGTTTTTTGAATGAAGGTGAAAGAAAGACAGTGACCTTATTGGTTCTAATTTCATACCAGATATTCTGCTCAGGGAAAATACCTTGTGGAATATTTAAATTAATACATGAAAGACGATGTCCTCCAGAGAACTAACCTTTTACAAATCATTGGGAGCCTAAAGTTTTGGTATCCAAGTCAGAGAAGTTCTCAAGAGCATAGAATATTAAGGAATATTTCTACCATCTTGTCTTCTGACACTATTAGCTCACATGTCCTATTACTCCAGCTTATTTCTGTGGAATGCTCAGCTATGAGTTCCCAGGATGATTAAGAAAAATGTAATTTTTTTTAGAACAAAGACAATTGTTCCAGCCTTACTACAGAATAGGATAATGTTACATGGGTAGGTACTATTGAAAAATTGTTTCATTTGTTGTTGTCTAATAAGATAAAATTTCTAAAATGGTTTTTTTTTGAAAGGCATCACCTTCGATTTCCATGGCAAACTTCCATAAAGGCAGCAACATTGATAATTTTTTGCACTGTGTCTGCAGCTAATGTAAAATAGGCAATAGAGAAGAAGCCAATCTCCCATTGGCCAAAGGCAAAACTGTGAAGTAGAATAAGTATTTTTTTAAATTAAAACAGATAGTAGTGTTTGGTATATTAAAAAGAGGATTTCTATAAAAAGAGTTGAAATAAATAGTTTGTTGCTTAAAAAGTTTCTCTATGCTGTGATATTTAAGTAACAATTCTCAAAGAGTTTGGCTAGCACAAGCATTTTCTATAGTTTCCAGATTTGAGATTGAAATTGCCATTAAGTGAATCTCCCATTTATGCCCTAGATAACAATATTATGGCAAAATGTTTAAGTGGTATTATTGAATCAGTGACAGCCAGATGTTCTCATACATTTTCCACAACCAGAGGGGAAATGGACAGTCAGGAAGAATTGCTTCCAGAAAAAATTAAGACTCAGTCTTGGACCGTCAGTAGGAGAATTGATACGTAGCATCCTCTCTTCCACTAACCAGTTACAGAATTATAGTCCATAGTAGTTTACTCATCAATGAAATGAGGGGGTAGGCTAAAAAATCTTGAAACATCTTTGGATTTCTAATGTAGTCAATCAATACAATGAGAATGAAGTTCAAATTTCAAATTTTGTTAGAAAGATAAGCATAAGAATACTGGGCACATATTAATGTGTAACAAATTACCCTAAAACTTGGTAACTTAAAACAGTGATAAACATTGTCATACAGTTGGTCTCAGGTATTCAGGAGTGGTTTAATCGGGTGGTTCTGGCTCACATTTCTTTGTGAGGTTACAGTAGATATGAAGCCAAGTCTGTAGTCATCTGAAGGCTTGAGCGGGGTTGGAGAATTTGCTTCCAAGGTGGATCACTCACCTGTCTGCAGGGTAGTGTTGGTGGTTGGTGGGAGGCCCTCAGTTTCTTGTTGTGTAAGCCACAACATAGCAGTTGACTTCCTTCAGAGTTAGTAACCCAAGAAGCAGCAATAGGCCAGAAGTTTTGATGTGTTTTATGATTCAACCTGGTTACATAGGGACAACCCTTTAAACAGTGTGAGAGTAACTTCACAAAGGGATGGAGCTAAGAATACTAAGGACCAACTTGGTGGTGGCTCATTATCATAATAAACAAAGTGAGTAACAAAAAAGAAATGTTATGCCAGATTCTGGGACCCCAATAGACTTCCAGGAGCCGAATCCAATGCAATCACACAAGAGTCTTTATTGCAAGCTCGAGCCTAAACTCACAACCGTTCCAGACGCAGCGGTCCCAGGGAGTGAGTCCTGGTCCTTTGTTCAGTGAGATTTTATAGGTTTTGTGGGTTTTTCCAAGGACAAGGGTCAGGCCCCCTTCCTTAGGATAGGACTTGAGGTAGAAGCTGCTGTTATTTAAAAATGGAGCCACATTAGTTTCTCAGAAACTGCCTGTATTATATATAGGTAACAGTCATATATGACTTTTTTAAAAGAAAGTTCAAAATAACATGACATAGCTATTTATTTGCCCGAATAATCTGAAGCACTAATTCATTAAATGGAATTGAAAATGATCATTTGTCAGTTATATAGTACCTCTACCACAGTATCCTAGACCCTTATTCTCACCTTTTTAAATTCTAAATTTGTGATAGTGTCTTTGTGGTTTGTATAAGTAAAAATGATAACAGCTAGTTTCCTTTTTTTAATCACACATTCTCATGCCTAGCTGGCAACTTAATAGCAACTAACTGAAGAAAGTAACAAGATTGATGAAATGAACTCTGGCTGAATGCTAAAACTAGAAACCCACAATCAGCCCATAATACCCGTCTTTCAAATTATCATAGTGGAACAGCTAACATGCATATTTACTGCTGCCATACTAGTAGATTTTCCATTTCAGCTTTGATCCTAAAACTTTTGTTTCACTATCTGTAGGTCAAAAAGCATAGGTGGATCTGTTTGTCAAACCTAAATTCCAACTGTTATACTGAACCCAGAATTAAATAGGCAGTCAGTATAGACAGGTAAATCGAGTCAGGCCAATTTTGAGTGAGTCCAACAAGTTGGAGACTGTCCAAGGATTGAAACGTTAATTCCTTCAGAGCCCTTCCTCCACCCTTATCAAGAACCTGCTCCTGCTCCAACCTGTTGCCAAGGTAACCTGTCCCAGGAGTTGCCCCCCCCCCCTTACAGGGAGCTATAAGGTTGTTAATGTGTCCTTGGCTACTCCATCTTGCCCTTCCCCCTTCAGCCCACAGGTTTCCCACCTTTGGGCTGTCCCACCAAGCATTCCTGGGCCTAGTCCTGAGCCTAGTCAAGTATGCAGGAAGGAGAAAGATAAGGGGGGAAAGGCAGGAGACCAGAGGAAGCCTAGGACATATAAAAAGGGCAGAACATCTCACTTCTTGGGATACCAGGATACCCCCTATGGTCCCCTTCTCCCTCCAGGGAGAAGTCTGTTACCCCTTTTTAAATAAACCCTGCTTTATATGTTTGCCTGGGCATGCTCCTCTAATGTTCAAATTTAAACATTTGAGGGAGCAGAACTAGTCACTGGTAACTGGCAGTATCAATACTACCATCGGTTAAGTGACTTTGGGAAAGTTAGGTAAACTATGGGAACTTCAGGATCTTTATCCAAGGTGGGCCATTACGTGGCCCAGTGTTTGATCTTGAAAATATGTTTGTTGAATGCATATTTCTCCCAAACTCCAACTGCCTTTCAGTGATCTCCCATTCTTCTTTCCTTCTCTAAACCTGTTAGTCAGGCTTTGGGCACCAAATAGTTCTGGAGCTTTGGGAAGTCATCCAATGAACCCATTTTCTCATATACAAAGCAGCAATATAAATTTTGTTCCTTCACAACCTTATTTTGAGCATATGAAAATAATAGACGTCAAGGGCTTTATACATTCCGGGTTAGGAAACATTTCCAATTCCCCTTCTATCGTGAGGGGGCAAAATTGTGACATATGTAGTCGAGGGAGAGAAATAAAGAATGTCCACGAATTTCTGCCCCTTTCAATGCTTTATTCACTCAAATTACTCAATACAATTTCACACTATAGGTTTTTTTTAATGTAATACTGTTTATTTAACTTCAAAAACATTTCAGCATTCTAAACATACAAAAAAAATAACATAACATTGCAAATTGCATTTAAGTACAGAAGGTTCTGGAACTTTCATTGATGCAGTGGCTCTTTGCTGACAATGAAGAGTTCTACAGTTTGCTTGAAAACAAAGTTTAAAATCTACCAAACTTAATTAAAAAAAATTCAAACACTTCTCATGCCAGCTGACCCCCTTTTTCCACAACTAAGAAAGGCAGCAGAATGCTATATCACTATATACAAAAACAAGACAACCTAAAGCTAAATGGATGCCCACTGCAGTGTCAACAGGTCCAGCCTCACAGTGCAGGCCCTGAGCTACGGCCCCTCCAAAAGGCATCTTCCCCCCACAGCCTTAACACCAAGCAAGGAGCATCAAGAGTTTGTCTCGGTTGTTTTGTTCTTTTTACAGACTATATATATGTACAGTTGATAACTGAGGATTTCTAGCCAATAACCATATAGTTAACACCACCTTACAAGTTAAAAAAAAAATACCAGAAACATCTTCAAATGCCTTGTCACACCAACAGCAAAGTGCACAGAGTCAGGAGAACACGAGAGTGCCTTTTTATTTTAAAAATGTTTGGAAATCTGTACAACTTTGATACAGTTTTAGAGTGCTCTGGACACCCAGGGCCACTTCATGTAAACCACTGACAATTTCTAGAGCACTTTGAGAGACTACAATATGATCGTGATCAAATTCGGAAATTAAACCTAATGAGAGTAACAGACACATCTCAAATAAGATGTGTCAATCATGGCGTTCCCCTACTCTAAGGTATTTACAAGAAGACGGGTAAACAGTTTTTTATTCATCCTCCTCCTCCTCTTCTTCTTCTTCCTCCTCTTCTTCCTCTTCCTCTTCCACTTTTTTCCAGGCAACTTTAGAAGGACCCTTTGTGCCATCAAACTTTCCTTTAGACTTATAGTCAGCAACATCCTTCTCGTATTTCTCCTTCAGCTTTGCAGCCTTAGTGATGTATGGCTGCTTTTCACTGTCACTTAAGTTATTCCACATCTCACCCAGCTTTTTTGCCACATCTCCAATGGAGATACCAGGATTTGTGGACTTGATCTTGGGGTGGAATTCTGAACAGAACAAGAAGAATCCAGATGGTGGTCTTTTGGGGGCATTAGGGTCCTTTTTCTTCTTGCCTCCCTTAGCTGGTCCATAGTCCTTCATTTCCCGATCATAGCGTACTTTATCTGCCTTTGCCATTTCATCAAATTTAGATTTCTCTTTCCCAGACATTGTCTTCCACCTCTCAGAGCACTTCTTGGAAAATTCTGCAAAATTGACAGGGACTTCTGGATTTTTCTTCTTATGTTCTTCTCTGCAAGTCTGCACAACGAAGGCATAAGCAGACATCTTGCCCTTTGGTTTCTTGGGGTCACGTTTAGCCATCCTGACTGTATTGTTCGCTAGTCTGGGCATCGCAGGGCACAACGGGCGGCTCAGCGCTCCCTAGCCTCGTGCTAGCTGCCTCCAGTCTGCTAGCTGCCTCCAGAGAGCTGACACTATAGGTTGTTAATCAAGAAAACGACAATTCTTAAGGCTAGTCACTGCAATGGGCATAATTCACAGCAAATAATTCTAGATTAATTAATTCACTGAAAATAATTCTAGATTAATTCTAGGCACTGCAAACACACTTAACCATGACAGGCTAATGACAGACATTCCCTCTGCATGCTAAGTTCAAAAGTAAGCCTTAGGCTTTATGTCCAGCAGATGCACACTCGCTCAGGCCACGGTGATCAGATCTAGAACTAAGGTAGGCTTTTCCTGGTGTGGAGTGGAGACTGGTTGAGGAGAGGGCGGTATGGAGAAGTTGTGGCTCTCACCAAGGTCCAGACGAGGTGGTAGAGTTTGAGAGCCGTGAGGACCACACAGAGGATCAAGAAATGATGACAAGTGATGAGATGTCAGGTCCTCATTAGGCTCTCCAGCTCCAGTACATCCTTGTTTCAGCTGGTTGAATCCCTTTTCATTAACTCTATTATTTATACTAAATTTGGGGGCTTTTGACCCCCCTTTCAATCCATATCAGCTACCACCATATTTCTCCATGACGTCATTTACCCTGGGGTCAGAAACATCTGGTCTGGTGGTCTCTACCCTGATCTTTTCCCTTTCCCTCCTGTCAGGCTAGGACAGCCTGCCAGAGACTTCACTCTGTTTATCAGGGAGAGGGGAAGTAATGTGTTTGTGGCCTTACTGGAGGGATCTGTTGGCTGTGCCTGGTGACACTGCAGGTTTCAAATTGGAGTTTTTGAAATGGAGTTGCTTAGGCTCAGGCTTAAGGCCATCCTCACAGCTTCCCAAGCTCCCAATATATTGAAAAGTATTTATTCTGAGTATAAAATCAATATTTGGCCGGGCATGGTGGCACCTGCTTGTAATCCCAGTGACTTGGGAGGCTGAGGCAGCAGGATCATGAGTTCAAAACCAGCCTCAGCAACTTAAGGAGACCCTGTCTCTAAATAAAATACAAGAAAGGGCTGAGATGTGGCTCCATGATAAGGTACTCCTGGGTTCAATCCCTGGTACCAAAAAAGGAAAAAAAAAAACATTTAAAAAAAAGCAATATCTGCCTGCTTTATTCACAACTCAGAAAACTTTAAAAATATACATCTAGTAATGAAAATTATATATATTTCCATGATTCAGTGGTAAAATTAATAAACAATTAATATTCTGATTTTTTTAGTGTAAACAAGCTCAGTTTTAAAAAGCAAAAATGTGTTCTATTATGGAATAGTTACATCTTATACTACAGTATAGCATTATGAACGCTCCCATTCCCTAGCTTCAACAATTATTAATCTTATTTCATCAAATATGGCTTCTAATTTACAATTATTTTGGAGTAAATCCTCACACATTTTGTAATCATTTCATCTGTAAATATGTATCTTCAAAATATAGGATCTTTACTACTATCATAGACTTAAAATTTAACTGTAACTTCTCTATATCGTCAAATAGCCAGTGTTCAAATATTCTCGATAGTCTCGGGGGTTTATACTTTTTAAAATTATTATTATTATTATCATCATCATCATCACCACAAGCTTCTCCTTCCAGGGCGCAGCGATTCCCGCTCCCCAACCATAAGGTTCCACCAGCTACAGAGCTAGAGCGCACCGCAGAACAACGTGGGGACACGGAGGCCAGCGGAACCAAAGTCGCCCATCTCCTGCGGGCTGAGGAGGGAGCTCTTTGCATGTTGCACTAAGGGCAGTCCGCACAAACGCCATTGGCAGCAGGTACCGGAAGCGCTGCAAGTTTCCAGCTCTGGCAAAGGTTCTTCTTGAGACGTGCTGAGGTGCAGCGTGCGCGGTTTCCCTCTGGACCAGAGCCGAAAGGAACTGGGACCGCGGCGGAGATGGAACGCTACGTGGAAGGCCGCACGGCGAGCTCACTCTTCGCTGGATTCCGAGCCCTGGGGCTTTTTAGTAATGACATCCCGCACGTGGTGCGGTTCAGTTCGCTGAAGCGCCGGTTCTACGTTACGACCTGCGTGGGCAAGAGCTTCCACACGTATGACGTGAGTGATTTCTTTGCCGGTTTCCCGAGAACTACCCTCCTTGGCTCCCAGCTCTGTCCTGGGGCATTCCCGCTCTCCCCTCCCACCTAACGAGGATTTCCCTTTCTGCCCTTCTTTTCTGTAACCCCACCCAGTTCTGTTTAGCCACCCTCATTGAACCCTCGTGCCGCTGCTTTAGCTCTTGCAGTTCACCTGGGGGCGAGTTTCGGAGGGAACCTGGCTAAGGAATGAATACTTGAGAATGTCTCAGTGTTACAGTATCATATTTGTTTAGTAGATAATTATTGATCCTCCCAGAGGATGCGAACATGAATAAGATAAGCCCTTAGACGACTCGCAAGACACTTATTGTGTAACTGAAGACACAAACTGGGTTAGAAATCCAGACTGAAATACATTGGGAGGACTGGAAGGGTGAGTTGATGATTTAAGGGACTCCTCACATTCGATGGCAATCCAGTTTCCCCGAACTTCCCCTGAGCATCTGTTTTCAACCAACCTTGAATATCTGGCGCCGTTTCACTCTAAGCTTTGCAACAATTTCTTTGCAAGGTAGTTTTTACTAATTTTGTAGCACCCTTATATAACTTAGGAAAGTAAGTATTAGGAAACTAAAGTTACTTGCCATGACACTCATGCTGCTTATTAATGATGGATTCCCCCCTTCCCAAATTTACCACTAATTGAAAAATAATGTAAGTTGTGTGGAAAGCAGGAATATGATGAAGATGGTAATAGCCAAGGTTATTAAGCACTTTTTCTGGAAAGCATGGTGTAGAGTTGTTTTCCTTGGAGAATTGTGAAAATTAAAGAGGTTATTAACAAGAAGAGTGGGAATTGGGAGCTAGTTGAGTAAATGTAAAAAGAAAAGAAGGATGGGGTGAGGTGAAGAGAGTTGGGTTTCTGGAAGCCTGGGATGGTGATGGAGAAAGTTGGGTCAGAGTGACATAAATCATGTGGGAGTATTTATTGATACCATTCTTCCCACTTCTTTCTTACTTGCCAATTTTTGGTTTTGATAAAGTTTTCCTCCCTAAAACATAACTTTTCTAATTTTCTCATTTAAAGAAAACTTTTTTCCACCTTTAGAGTAAATATTTAATGAGCACATTTTTATTTAAATAAATCCTCTAGTAAATAAATGGATAATTTACTGCCTTTATTGTGTAAATGGTTATGTCAAATTTATATTTGTAGCTTGCCAACATTCCTTTAATGGAAACATCCATATTTCCACATCACTGTACCCAGAAAGACTTAAAAGTCTCAAAATTCTGTATCTCCTCTTGAAATCTTATGTTTGGTACAGTGTCTTTCCTGACATTTTGTTAAGCACAAACACATCCCCCTCCCCTTCCAAAGAAATCCTATTGTTAGGAGAGTAACATCTTTAACATTTTATAAAAAATTTACTGTTATTTGCACATTGAAATTTAGTCATAAAAATGTGTTTTAAGATGTCCTTTAGATCTTGTGATGCTTTCTTTGGAGGTGGGTGGGGATGATACATTTTTTTAAATTTCTGTAAAATGGCATAAAATGCTTATTACCTGAGGACTCTGTGTTTGTTACACCAACCAATTTACTGGGCTATGATCTCTGAAACTAAAAATAACTTGGGGTAAACCAGATGGTACTAATGATCCCAAGTCATTAACTTGTTCCTCAAGGGCTCTCTCCTATGGCCATTGCTGTATTACTGCCCACTGTGAGTCATCCTACATATAAGCATTTGTACCTGGACAATAGACAAGGTATAAATAGCTGTTGATGTTGGTGATACCAGCTAACATTGAGCATTTACTACATGACTGCTGTACTCTGTTTTACATAATTTATTTGCAATCCCATTGAATTTTCATAATCCCATAAAGTAGGTACATATCTTAATCCATATTTGGAATCCATATAAGGAATTTGAGGCACAGGGAAGATGAGTAACTTTCCTCAGGTCAGCAAATTGGTCTGTAAGCCAATTCAGTCCACTATTTGTTTCTGCATGACCCATGAGTTATGAGTGGTTTTGTTATTTTTCTAAAGATTAGAGGGAAAAAATCACATTATTTCAGGATGTGAGAACCAAATAAAAGTACCTACAGATAAAAGTTTATTGAAATATACCCATGTATATTTATTATGTCCGCTTTCCTGCAACAGTATAAGAATTGGGTCAGTATAACACAGACTTTATGACTTGCTAATCCTAAAACATTTACTCTTTGGCTCACTACAGAAACCCTTTGCCTACTTCCATCACCACTGTTGGTGAAATAGTTGAAAATATAACTTTCCTAATAATGAAATTTAGGGTCAGTGAGTATCTTTTCTAGGAGGGACAGCATAGCAGATTTACCTATGAGGTTGTACCTTAATCTTAAGGTGTTAAGTTATTATAAAATTGTTTTTCTTATGAAAACTTAATCTTTTTTTTTTTTTTTTAACAGGTTCAGAAACTTAGTCTGGTTGCAGTAAGTAAGTGTGAATTTTATTCTGGATTTATGCTGGCTTAGTATCTTTAAAATTTTTTTGACATAAGTTTAAGGCTTATGGAATATATAAAGAATCCAGTGTGTGTGTCTAATAAACCTCTATAGGGGGCAAAAAAAAAACAAAACTGTGACACTATCATCACTATCATGTTTTGCTTTCAGTTGTCACATGATTTATTTATTTATTTGGAGTAGTTCTTCAGCATTTCTTTGTATTTGACCACATTGTGATTAATTCTTTTTTAGAATAACCTTCAGTTTGAGTTTTTCTGATACTTCTTTATAGTTAGATTCAGTATTTTGACAGGAGTAACAAAGAAATGATGCTGAATTCTCAGTGAATTTTATCAGTAGGCACATGCTATTCTTGGCAGTGATAACTTTGATTGTTTAGTTAAGGTGATATCTGTCAGGATGCTGTGTTTTAAAGTTACTAGTTTGTCCTTTGTAGTTAATAAGTATCTTGTAATATGATGCATTCAGACTCTGTAAATATGCTATTGCTCTTCAAAGTTTCACCTGCTGCATTTAGTTAGCATTTAGTGATGAGACTTGCCTGAATCTCAGTTAGTGATATGATGGTTATTAAATAGTGGTTTTGTTTTTCCATCATTCCTTCTACTGTAAGGAAATGTCTCATATTTGGATATTTTTTTTCAATGGGGGAGGTATTTATTTTTCTAAGAACTGTTCAATAGCATAAAAGGCCTGCCAGAGCTAACAGGTACTCGTTTTACCTTAAAATGTGATCCTTGTAAGAGAAATCCATTGTGTATGTCTGAAAAACAATTTTTAAAAGATTAGAAGACAGAATAACCTAAATTGAATACAAAAGTGAATGATAAACCTATAGAAATAGTATCATGGAAACTAAATCCCCAAGTGGAGTATGCACGTAAAAAATACTTACAATCGATCATCTTCCGTCTACTCATCTCCCTGACCCCAAAAGAGAAAGAAAAAGGGGCACCATGATTTTATTAGTGAGAGATGAATCAAGAAATCACGTCCTATAAGAAATGGCTAGAGGTAATAAGCATATTTACCTTGGAGACAACCGAGTAGAAACTGTATTGTCTTTAATTATTTTAAGGCTCAACATAAAAAGTATATATGGAGTTGCTTGGGGTTGGTCCAAAGGGTTGAGTTAGATGTGGATCTAAGTTTTAATTTAGTTTTATATTTTTCCTGAAGTTACTAATAAACTCCATGTTCTTGAAGGTGTTCATAAGTGGGCCAGATACCCATCTGTCAGTTTCATGTATTAAATGATGCTTTTTTCCAAATACTTCACAAAGCTTCTTTTTATCTATTTATTTAGCATTATGTTGTTATGTTTGCAAATCTTAATGTTTACGACAGTCAATATTGAGATTAAAATTTTATACTGATTCTCAGCTTTCTTTCTTTCTTTTTTTAAATACCTTTATTTATTTTTATGTGGTGCTGAGGATCGAACCCAGGATCTGGCACGTGCTATGCGAGCACTCTACTACTGAGCCACAACCTCAGCCCTCAGCTTTCTTTTTTATTAAATATATTTTTAATTATTATATCCATGAAAAATATTATATGTATATTGATGGTTTCTATTACAAGATCTTAAAATTGTATTTCTTTTATGTTCTAGGTAACTCTGTTCCACAGGATATCTGCTGTATGGCAGCTGATGGGAGGCTAGTTTTCGCTGCTTATGGGAGTATTTTTTCTGCATTTGCCCGTAATAAAGAGGTTTGTATCACTGAACTATTTCAATTGTACCATTTTTTTTTTCTTTCTAATGTATGCTCAGTTTTATAGAGGAAGAGAAAATTTGATTTCACCTATATATGTGTATTTATAAATACACATATGTATGTGGTCCATATGGAGACACTTTAATGAAGGAACTCTGCTTACAGGTGTGGGCTGGGTTGGGGGAACAACATAGGGGGAGGAATGCATCAAAGGCTATAAACTTGGGGAAGCTGTTACCAATCCTTGGGCCAAAGGGCAGAAGAAGTAGTGTTATCGAAGCCTGGTGAGAGCTGAAACCATGGAGAAGGAGATGTAGTGATGGAGGGATAAGTTACTGTGAGAGTCAGTGCCTCTGTGTCAAAGCAGGAAGGTATAGCAAAGAAGTACTTTATATTCCCCTTTCTCATCTTATCTGGAAGGCAGTTGGTGATGGAATCTTAGAGGTCAGCCTTCTAGAACATACCATTTTTTTTTAGTATAAAGGGAATTACAATGGTCGAATTAGCAAGGGATCTAGGTATATATGCATACCTTTTTCCTAAACTCAGTAGGGAGGCTAAGCCCTAGAGTTCTCATTTCTATGTTCTTAGTCCATGCTTTATTTCCTTATTGAACTGGCTAAGCAGATGAACGTGTCTAACTCCTTAATATTTGTTCATATAACCTTGTATACTAAAAAATTGGACTACATTCTTAACATGAATGTTTTTAGGATTAGAAAGCCTTTTTTGGATAATATTACTTGATGAATGACTACTAATATGAAATTATTTTAAACTTTATAGATAGTACATACCTTTAAGGGTCATAAGGCAGAAATCCATCTTTTGCAACCTTTTGGGGATCACATTATCTCTGTTGATGCTGACAGCGTTCTTATTATTTGGCATATATATTCAGAAGGTAAGAATTAACTAATTTATTTGTTTTGTCTTGGGATTGTATGTGTATACTTAAAAATCTATGTGAACATAACTTCTACATCAGAGGTTTCACATGCAAAACAGTCAAAATAAACAAAATAAAAAAATTAATATGTATAAGAGAAAACATTCTAAATAAGAAGTAAATAAGCAGTTTTTGTCAGTTGGTTAACTACTTACAACTTGTTTAATGTGCTAATTTCAACTAATATGTTTTCCATTGCCGTTCTTTAAAATTAGTGACTTGTTTTCTCTGTAGAATGGATTTTGATGTATGTTCATACGTAGTATTTTCATCTTTCAAAAGGAGATGCTAATAGTAAACTTGAAGAATCTGTAAATAAGAAGGAAAATATACATCTTTTTTTAACTTCTTTACTCTGTTTACATTTTTAACGTCTATATGTCTTGATTTTCTATTGTTCAATGCAGTATTCTTATTTTTAGTCAACATTTTAGAGGTTGCCTTCTGGGAGTTATTCTGTATTCTCATACAAATTGCTAATGCTTTTCTTTGTTTTATCTTTGCTCAAGTTGGGGTAAAAGAATTCTAAAAGTGCTCCCTTCAAGGTTAGATTTTAAAAAGCTTTATAAAATTATAAGATCTGGCTCGTAAAGACTCAGGCACTCTTGATGTTGATGCCTAGATTTTTTGTTGCTTTTAGAACAATACATTGGCCTGGAGTTTTCAGGGAGCTATTTGTAGTGAGACAAGGATCTTTTAAAATAGTATTCAAAGTAAAGTTTGTATACTTTTCACCTATATCTGTGCATTCTAACCTGGGGTATACATACTTCTGGGAGTATGTAGTACACCTTCTTCAATATTCAAATTTATTGGTAAACTTAGTGAAAAAAAAAAATTGTTTCAGTACTGAACAAATTTTGAAATGAAAAACACAATTTAAACCGTAATTTTAATTATAATAAATGTAAGATTTTAAAGAAGTTTCTAATCTTGCAGCAAGTAACTACCTGCTGGGCTACCTTCAAGGGTGGATGTTAAAAAGCTTTATAAAGTTGTAAGATCTAGCTCATAAAGTCTCAGGCACTCTTTTGATGCTAATGCCTAGATTTTTTGTTGCTGTTAGAACAACACATTGACTTGGGGTTTTAAGTTCCCAGAGTTTTAAGTTCTTTTCATCTCCTGGGTTAGAGTCTTCTGAGGAAATGTGTGAGAAGCATTGTTTTTGGTTTCACTAAACTTCACCTCTTTTCACATCTTCTAAGTGGCTCGTTGAACTTCCCAGATATTTGGCTCTTCACTTGGAGCATTCACTTCTGCCTCTTGATCAGATTATAAAAATATTAATGTTGATCCCTATGATCAGTTTTTAATCCTGTTTTCTTTTCTGTAAACCAATTTAAGTAGTGAAACTTCTAATAGTATTTATGTTAGAACTTGTAGATAATATTGACAGCCTAAATGACATTTACAGGTTGCCCCTATCACATTTATCTTGGTTCTTGGGGGTTATTTATAGGTTAGTTTATATGTCTTTGATTTATATTAGCATATAAGTCTCTGTGGTAAACTTACTTTAAATGGTAAATATATGGGTATATGAAACAAGTGTCAAGCTATTTTATAAAAAATAATTATATGTTATTTGTAATTTTTACTTTTTGTAGAAGAATACCTACAATTGACTTTCGATAAATCAGTTTTTAAAATTTCTGCGATTTTGCATCCAAGTACCTACTTGAACAAAATACTTCTGGGCAGTGAACAAGGAAGTCTGCAGTTGTGGAATGTAAAATCCAAGTAAGCACTTTACTTAAATAAATAATGTACTTCTCATCTTATCCGCATCTACTACTTTCTTCTTCCTATTTATTTATTTATTTATTTATTGGTTCTGGGGATTTAACCCAGGGGTGCTTTACCTTTGAGTCACACCTAGCCCTTTTTACTTTTTATTTTGAGGCAGGGTCTAAGTTGAGGAAGCTGGCTTTAAACTTGGGATTCTTCTGCCTCAGCTTCCTGAGTTGCTGGTATTATAGGTGTGTACCACCATGCCCAGCTTCCTAAAGCATTCTGCATCTCTCAGTTCTCTCTGCCCTTATATGTTTATTTGGAGGGCTGTCAATAAATATGGCTGTGAGAAGTTATCACTTAATGCCATCACATATTTAAAAAGTGGCATGTGGTCCTGGCACAAAATAAGCAACTTCATAAATCCACATTGAATAGTCTAAACTATTGACTCAGTAACTAGTCAATAGAAAGAATCCATATAGCTATCCAGACAGCTTTATAAAGTAATATTATGAGGTTAGCATTAGATAGCTTCTAGATTTTTATAAATGAAGGAAAGATATGGTAAAACAAATTCGTGTTAATTTAGTGCTACCATTTAGAAATGATTTCAAGGAAAATAAAAGTACTTTGATCAACAACCACCAGTGTAATGAATATCTATTATAATGTTATTAATATAACTGGAAGGCTACATTAATGATTTTAAATACCTCTTCTTGTTACTTGAACATTTATCTAGAGAGAAAGGGCTAACTCAAGTTTTGTATAATGTTAAAACAAGCAAACAAAAATATTTAACCACCTAAATTATTCTTTCCAAAGCCCTTGTAAATTTGAAAGGGAAGACTGTTTAGTTTTGAATCAATATTTCAGTTCAGTGGCAGATACCACTGACTGCCGACTCTGTGTTATGCTCAGGGATGTTGACTGAGATGCTGTCTCTGCTCTTAAGGTTCTTTCCTTAGGCTCTTTGTGATGTTTACATTCTTTGTGTACTTTATCCATTATGTAATTATTGCAGAGACTAATTTTGCCCATTTGCAGAATTTAATATATGATTTAATATTTTAATGACTAGTATTAAAATGATTTCAGATAGCTGTGCTCCATAGACTGACTTAATCATTCATGGTCTGATTCACAATATGAGAGCAGCATAACTGTTTCCATAAGACAGTTCATATAACATTCAAGTACTATTTTAGTTAAAATCTAATTATTCCCTTTAGTGATGATATTTCTAGAAATACATTGCAGTAAAAAAAAAAAAATGAGGTCTGCCTATATTCCAAGACTTTTATTGTCTAGATAAAATGGATTGTATTTTTTCTTCTACTCAAACATTTAAATTTTTAATGAGGTGGCCTTGCATAGCAATTTGCAGATTGGGAGTCTAGAACCTGCACACACACACTCTTTTTTTTTTACTTGGCTTAATTATTTAGCACTTTTCTTTTTTTTAAGTTTCTTTTTCTGGATAAAAGGTGATAATATTTACTTCATGTGATTATTTTGAGTATTGGACATGGTAATATATTCTCAGAATAATGTGGGATGAAGAATTTAATAAATACTACTGTTACTAGTTTACTTTTAAATATATAGTCGATTTTGTTTTTCTCTCCCACCCGCAAAAAAAAAACAAAAAAAAAAAACAACCTACCTTTCACCTTTCAACTCTTTTTTTTTTTTTGTAGTAAGCTTCTGTATACATTTCCAGGATGGAAGGTTGGAGTGACTGCTCTTCAGCAGGTTAGTAATTTTTGGTTAAACCAAATAGTAGATTCATGTAGTTTCAGGGATCAGCCTGTTTTTAGACCTTAAGACAAAATAATATAGTTTTAACTGTTCCACTAAGGAAATAATGTTTTGGAAATACACTGTCAACAAGTAGTAACACGTTTGCCGTTTAGAATTAGGCTCTAAACCTGTGGTTATTGTAGAACCTTGTTTACTGATTATTTTGCAAGCAGGTAGTATAGAGCTTTATAGAGAACAGAAATTAGTTGTTCATTGATGCAAAGGAGACTATTGGTTTTACAGAGAAATTTATTAGGATGTTGAGATTTCCTATTTGAAATAGTTGGGGACAAAAATCCTAAGGATTTTTTCATTGGTAGACTTAGAAAATTGCTTTTCATTTTTATGAGTCAGTAAAACATACGTATATGAATGAATGTATGTCTATAGAAAATCTGGTGAGTCTGTTGGTTACACATGTAGCCATTATTCCTGATCTTTCTAATATTCATTGCCCATTTTATTTGCACTCCCTCATCCCCTCTCACTGTCATCAACCATGCTCTGCCATGCCTATCCATTATAAGACAGAATTATAGTCATAGAATGTTATGGCTGTTACTTCCTTTCCAGCTACATATGTTGCCATACTTATGACAAGCCTTCATATATTTTCTAGGAGTTGTCTCTTTTTTCTCTTTCACCTAGTCAGTGATTTGTTGTGATTGCATATGTAAATTTTTCTTTCTGTGTGACTTTGTATTAACAAGACTGTTTTGTTCTAACAGTTGAGAGGGAAATTGACTGGCAAAATTTAAACTGGGAAGTAATTTGGAAAAATCGTTCCTAAATACTTCCATTTGAATAGCAGTTAATATTAACTCTTAGCATTAGTTAATAATAGCCAGAATGGTAATACTTGTGGATTTCCCCCTACACACCTTTAAGAAGATATTTCATATTCTCTCATAATAACACATAAATAATAGTGTTGATCATAAAAATTGTAAGGCTGTGTTGCTTAAGAAAATAAAAACTTATGAGTAATTTAATTTTCAGGCACCAGCTGTGGATGTTGTTGCTGTTGGTCTTATGTCAGGTCAGGTTATCATTCACAACATTAAGTTTGATGAAACATTAATGAAGTTTCGTCAAGACTGGGGACCCATAACTTCAATTTCATTTCGCACAGGTAATCTTTACCATATTTATTCATGAGAGTTAAGAACACCTGAAATGCTTTACTTTAAAATCACAGAAATTGTTTTTTTATAGTTTAATAAGTATTAATGAAACACCGAAGTAGAACAAGCAAAAAATATGGGAAGACTATTGGTGTATAGTTTTAACTTTATAAACTAAAAGGGAGAGAAATTTGTCAAGTTTACTTGTTTTCGGGCTTGTGTTTTTTAACATATATTTTATTTTAATAACAGATGGTCATCCAATAATGGCAGCTGGAAGCCCATGTGGCCATATTGGACTTTGGGACCTAGAAGACAAAAAATTAATCAATCAAATGAGAAATGCACACTCTACAGCAATTGCTGGACTGACATTTCTCCATAGAGAACCTCTTCTTGTCACAAATGGTGCTGACAATGCTCTCAGGGTATTATGATTATTTTTGTCATTTTTCTGGTTCATCTGGCCTACCTTTTGGGTTATTACAAGCTTGCTTTTTAATGTATTAGTACCAAAATTAGAAGATGAAAGGAATATGGGATGAATCATTGTTATAGATAAATAAAAAGTATAGCAGATGACATTGCAATGAAGTGGGAAAGAGTTACAGCTTATTTCTTTCCCAATCCCCACTTCAGGGTCAGTGGCCTGCCTGACTGCAGATCAGAGAGCACATGGTGTAAGAACCTTACCATTTAATTTCTTGGCAGATATGGATATTTGATGGCCCCACAGGTGAAGGCCGACTTTTGAGATTCAGAATGGGCCATAGCGCTCCTCTTACCAGGATCAGATACTATGGACAAAATGGACAACAAATTCTAAGTGCAAGTGAGTTTCTATTTTCTACCCATAGTACTTAAGTAGGTATTGAGAGCTGGACGCATTTTTAGATTGTAATTTCTCTTTAAAATGTCCCAAACCATAACACTAAGCTTTTTGTAGAATCCAATTTTATAACATCTGTGATTCAAATGGCCCATTGTTTTGATGGAGCTTGATGAGGAATTTTCTTTTTATATCAATAGGTCAAGATGGAACTCTTCAGTCATTTTCTACGGTACATGAAAAATTCAATAAGAGTTTGGGACTTGGTAGGTCATTTGCAATATAGAATATAAGTTGCTAGTCACAAAAGAAACTTTGCAAGATTCTGGGAGAACTGGAGGAGGTTTCATCAATATATTTCCTCTTTTTTGGATAAAATTAAAACCTTATGGAGGAGAAACTAGTAAGATCCTAAGATCAAAATCACTGTAGAAGTGTTTGGGGTACTGCTTACTATAAATCTGTTAAAAAATGTTAGGCATCTTGGGTGATAAAACATACTCTTGCCACCCAAAAAACACAGCCTAATGTGATCCATCTGTAGAGTGCAGAATTTAAATTATGGGAACAATTTTAAAGAAACCATCAAAATAAATAGCATCTCATCTTTTTGCTTTAAAGGGCGCCTTTATTCTCTTCCTGGTTTCCAGCTTTTGAGAGGTTTCTTAAACAAAAATGTTTTTTAGTTTCATTAATGTTTACTTTTTTAAGTAAATGTTCTAGCTATTCATAAAAGTATGTACTTCCAGGTAACTTATAGGATCCTTTTTTAATTGATAATCTAAAATAGTTCCTTTTGGAATTAAATTGGAGAGATTTGATATCTTTAAGAATCTTCTCATCCAGGAATGTGATATATCCTCAAGTTTTCTTTTTTGTGTTGGTTCTATCATATTATTGGCAAATAATATGATTACCTCATTTTTTCAGTTATTTATACCTTATAATTTGCTTTTGTATCTTAATTATACAAACTTCAGAAACAAATAATATTGATAACAGTACCCTTGTTGTGCTCCTGACTTAAATGAGAACATCTTGAACTTTATAGTTATGTGACAGTGAAGAGCATTTTTCTTCCCCCATGAAGAAAGATTCATAACTATGATTCCCTCTTCCCCAACTCCAGGATTAATTAATAAAAAGAGACTCAAGCGGAAAGGACTTCAGAATACCATGTCAGTAAGACTTCCACCTATCACAAAGTTTGCAGCTGGTAAGTAACTTCTCTTGTTTTGTACTTCATTATTTCCTCCATTTAAAAAAAATATATGTTTGCAAATTCTAATAAATGTTCAGAGGGTAACCTTAAGCATGTACTAATCTTGTGTGAAGATTGAAAATGAGTTAATTTTAACATGAATTTATTTTTTAAATCTCAGGCTTTGTTCTCTATACCAGCTATTAATAAATAATATTTTATAGCCCTTCTTTTTATCCTATCATCTGGTATAATGAAAGTCACTAATGTAGAAATTTATAACAGAGAACAAATGTGAAAAGATGTGGCCATGACCAATCAAGATCTAAGTACAATAGTAGTATACCATATCATAGAGCAGAACTTCTTCAGAAGAAGAGCGTTTAAGAAAAGTATACATATATAATAGGATGATTGAATGAAAACTATCAGGAAATAACTACATAGGCACCATTTCTATATTATGGTTATTGTTTCAAGGTTATTATAACAACCTGATCACTACTTTGGTTTTTTGATCACCCCTCTATTTGCCTTGAGCCTAAGTGATGCTTCTAAAACATATAGCTGACTCATGTCATGTTCTTAAAATCTTTTCGTGCCCCTTATTACCTTTAGGTAGACTTTTGCCTCTTTAACTTTCAATATCCTTGTAATGTGGCCCCAGTTGCCTTGTCCTCTCGCCTCTCCCAGGAACACATTTCTCTTACTTGCCATCCTTGGTTTTGTTCAACTAATCTTGGGCCTTTTGTCTATAGGGCTCTGCCCACCTCTGTACTAGAAGTTTTATTTGTTTATTGCTCCTTCCAGGAAGCCAGTTATTACTCTCCCAAAATCTCCCAGTAAAACTCTTCCTGAGTGCTCATATAAAATAGTCATGCAATTATGCTTTCTCATTCTTTCTTCTAATCAAAATCTGTTATTAGATATTGTCAGTTAATTTGATTTAGCCATTCAACAATGTTATAAGGTGTCAAAACACATTGAACACCATAAGTATGTACAGTTTTTATCAGTTAACCTGTTGGATAGGAAGCTCTTTCCAGAGATAGCCTGTTTATTTTACCATCGTATTCCTAGTACCAGTTATTAAGGTAGAATATTAGATACTTAATTAATAATAGATGAGCAAATGAGTGAGATGATAAAAAGCACTTTGATTTATGATTTTAATTATGTTTAGAGGAAGCTCGAGAGAGTGACTGGGATGGTATCATTGCTTGCCATCAAGGTAAGCTATCTTGCTCAACCTGGAATTATCAAAGGTCTACAATAGGTGCTTACTTTCTCAAGCCAAAAGAATTGAAGAAAGATGACATCACTGCAACAGTAAGTGAGCTCTTTTATTAAAATCTTTTCTCCTTTAAAACTTATGTGGTAATTTTATTATACTCAAGTTTACTAATGATATTATTGGAAAGAACATGTTTTACCATTTTGAAGTTGTTCTCTAATATTGTAAAGTTTTTCAGCTTGCAGAAATTTATTTAGCTACTTGAGGTTGATTGTGAAGTAGTATCTCTGTGTGGTTTTGATTTGCATTCTTCTGAGGAGGTATAGTGTTGCATCTTTTCACGTAGTCATGGGTCATCTCTAGATATATCTTTGTAACGGTGCTTTGTCTGTCTTGATTATGTTAACTTTGTAATTTTGAAATCAGATAGTATGCCTCCTCCAAGTTTGTTCTTTTCCTTTTCAAAATTGTTGGATATTTTGGTCCCCAAATTAGCATGTCAATATCAGCAAAAAAAAAAAAAAAAAGACAGTTGGGATTTTTTTAATCAATACATAAATTTGAGAGTTACCATTTCTGGTTTCCTAACAATTTCTGTCAATAATGTTTGTACTTGTCAGTGTATGTCCCACTTCTTCTCAATGCTAAGTAAAATTGTTTTCTTAAGTTTATTTTAGGTTTTTTATTGCTAGTGTATCAAAAGATATAATTGACTTTTTGCCTATTGATCTTGTATCTTGCAGATTGCTAAACTTGTTTACCTGTTCTAATGATTTCTTAATAGATACTTCTGCTTTTGAAAATGCTGACTAAACGTTTAACTCAACATTTGACTCAATTATGTACACATTATTATAAGTACATATGTTCTAATCTCCATAGTATGAAAAGCTAGTCTTAAGCTTTTATGTAATTTTCTAAATCATAGAGATTTATCTTAAGCTTCTTTAGGAAACTTACCTACAGAGTTCTGAGTAGTGTTTGTAGTAGTAGTAGAAAGGATAATTACAGCTAACTTTTACTTTAGTCTCTCTGCCTAGTGTGTACTCACATTATGTTTACATAATCCTATGTTATGGTCTATTGTTAGCCTCTTTTTATAGAACATAAGACTAACCCTTAATGTAATGAGTAACATGCCTAAGATCAGTAAAGCTAGAAGTGACACAGCAGGGATTTGAACCTAAGACAACTTATTCTAGAAACTGTGATCTTAACTTACAACCTACTGTGATCACTCATTGAGCACTTAATATGCATGTGTACAATGATGCTTAACCAGTGCTGAGTCATTTGTCTAACATCCTCAGCTACTTGGAACAAAGCCAGAAATCATTAAGTAATAAACAGAAGTAATTATTATAGAACCCATGCAATAAAGTGTAATTTATTACTCAAGGGTAACCTTCACAGTTTTTCTAAAATACTTTGTTTTTTGAGTGTATTTTTTTGTTTTTGTTTTAATTTGTTTTATTAGTGCATTATAGTTATATTTAATAGTGGGGTTCATATTGACACGATCATACATGCATGAATTGTAATTTGCTCCAGTCCTCAATACTTCTCCTATCACTCTCTCCTCCTTTCTCCCCCTCCCTTCTCTTATTCCCTTTCTTCTACTTTACTGATCTTCCTTCTATTTATTTATTGTTTTCTTTTTAATTGGTGCTTTATAGATTTACAGGAATATGGAATTCACTGTGAAATATTCATATATGTACATAGCATTATTTGGTTAATTTCACTCCATAGTTCCTCACTTTTCCTGCCATACTCCTTCACTCAAAGGAATTCCTTTGCAGTCACTTTTCCTGCTATACTTCTTCATTCAAAGGAAATCAGTGGAGTAGCTAAAGGGAACTTTATTTTAATTTAAGTAGTAGGCTTTAAATGTTTAGAAAAATTTATGTGCACGAAACATTTTATGTCATGCTATAGAAATATGTCTTCACTTGCATAGTGGCATTTGTCACTTTTATGTGTAAGAAAAGTAATAAATCAATTCACTTTTCATGTTTTTTTTTTTTTTAAATAAAATTATTGGTAGATTTGACTTTGGAAGCTATGAAGCACAATACAATATTATTTTCTTTTTTTTTTTAATATTTTTTAGTTGTAATTGAACACAATATCTCTATTTTATTTATTTATGTGGTACTGAGGATCGAACCCACGGCCTCTCACGTGCGAGGCGAGCACTCTACCTCTGAGCCACAACCCCAGCCCTAAAATATTATTTTCTTTGTTATTTGCTTTTGTTTTTTTTCCCCTGTAAAGGCAGTAGATATTACTTCTTGTGGAAACTTTGCTGTGATTGGTCTTTCATCAGGAAGTGTAGATGTGTATAATATGCAGTCCGGGATACATCGGGGAAGTTTTGGCAAGGATCAAGGTATTGAAATGTCTTTCTTTCTTTCTTTTTTTTTTTTTCTTTTAAGTAATTTTTTGATGAGTTATCCCAACTTCATTTGGCAGATTAATTTCAAGATTTTTCAAGAATATAAGTAGTGGAAATCTAGATATTTGGAAAGAATTATTTGTATTGTTCCAGTAGACACTACCAATTCTGATTTCTTTTTTTCTTGTCTACTTAAAAGCTCATAAGGGATCTATTAGAGGTGTTGCAGTGGATGGATTAAATCAGTTGACAGTTACAGCTGGTAGTGAAGGATTACTCAAATTTTGGAACTTTAAAAACAAAAACTTAATCCATTCTATGAGCCTTGATTCATCTCCAAATATGATGCTGCTACATAGGGACAGGTAAACATTTCCTTTTAATGATAATGGACTTGCTTTTTAATGTTTTTGGTAAAGTTCATAAGTACAGATTTGTCATATGGGGAAAATCAGACTGTTTTAATAAAGAACAACATATGGTTTAATTTAATCAAAGGCATATTTGACTAATACAAGATTCCAGAGTTTTGTTTGCTTAACTGGTGCATTTATCTTGCTAGTGGCATTCTGGGACTTGCCTTGGATGACTTCTCCATTAGTGTTCTGGACATAGAAACTAGGAAGATTATGAGAGAGTTTTCCGGACACCAAGGCCAAATAAATGACATGGTAAAACAAACCTTAGCTGTTTAAACAACTTTTTCTTTCTTTCTTTTTTTTTTTTAACTCCAGGTTAAAAATGTTCACAAAATTAAATCTGATATCTTTTAATAGCCTTAAGCTTATCATATTAAGAGATTTTATAAATAGATAATTTGCTGGTGAGTTTTCAAGGAGATTTTAAAGGAAAACTTACAATTGAAAGAATTAAAATTTTTCAGGAAATTGATGCTTTCAGAGTAATTTATCCTTTTCTCTTTAAATCTGTGTAAGACATTTTATTTTGGAAAATGAATGCTCCATTTATACGTATCATGTTTGACTTAATATAAAAGGCTTAGAGAAGACATTTCTGTTTTTCTTTGTACACAATAAGTTAATAGTAGCCTTGTTATATTGTAGTTTATTATTATATTTTATATATTATTTTATATATATATTATTATTATATTATTGTAGTTTATATTGTAGTTTATTATAATTTCTAGAGTTTATATGAAGAGTCTAATTAATAAAAATGTAGTTAAGTTTGCCATTATATTCTTTAGTGGGATGTTTGATATTGTAAGAACTAAACTACTTTTAAAAGCATGTTTCAATTAAAAGATAAACCTTAAAATAAATTTGTCATTGAGGACTATGTTAAGTATATGTTGTTATTTGGAATCAGTTGCAAATGGAGTAATTTACTTGAAAAGAGAAAAAATTAAAATAAAATCCTAACTACTGAGTGACAAACCCATCAGCTTCATTTACTTATGAGTCTAACATCAAAAATCAGAATTACAATGCTTACTCCTTTCCTTAATATTAAATTTTTTATTGTTGGCTGTTCAAAACATTACATAGTTCTTGATATATCATATTTCACAATTTGATTCAAATGGGTTATGAGCTCCCATTTTTACCCCATATACAGATTGCAGAATCACATCAGTTACACATCCATTGATTTACATATTGCCATACTAGTGTCTGTTGTATTCTGCTGCCTTTCCTATCCTCTACTATCCCCCCTCCCCTCCCCTCCCCTCCCCTCTTCTCTCTCTACCCCCTCTACTGTCATTCATTTGTCCCCCTTGTATTATTTTTCCCCTTCCCCTCACTTCCTCTTGTATGTAATTTTGTATAACCCTGAGGGTCTCCTTCCATTTCCATGCAATTTCCCTTCTCTCTCCCTTTCCCTCCCACCTCTCATCCCTGTTTAATGTTAATCTTCTTCTCATGCTCTTCGACCCTACTCTGTTCTTAGTTACTCTCCTTATATCAAAGAAGACATTTGGCATTTGTTTTTTAGGGATTGGCTAGCTTCACTTAGCATAATCTGCTCTAATGCCATCCATTTCCCTGTAAATTCTATGATTTTGTCATTTTTTAATGCAGAGTAATACTCCATTGTGTATAAATGCCACATTTTTTTTATCCATTCATCCATTGAAGGGCATCTAGGTTGGTTCCACAGTCTAGCTATTGTGAATTGTGCTGCTATGAACATCGATGTAGCAGTGTCCCTGTAGCATGCTCTTTTTAGGTCTTTAGGGAATAGACCGAGAAGGGGAATAGCTGGGTCAAATGGTGGCTCCATTCCCAGCTTTCCAAGAAATCTCCATACTGCTTTCCAAATTGGCTGCACCAATCTGCAGTCCCACCAGCAATGTACAAGTGTACCCTTTTCCCCACATCCTCTCCAGCACTTGTTGTTGTTTGACTTCATAATGGCTGCCAATCTAACTGGAGTGAGATGGTATCTTAGGGTGGTTTTGATTTGCATTTCTCTGACTGCTAGAGATGGTGAGCATTTTTTCATGTACTTGTTGATTGATTGTATGTCCTCCTCTGAGAAGTGTCTGTTCAGGTCCTTGGCCCATTGGTTGATTGGGTTGTTTGTTCTCTTATTGTCTAATTTTTTGAGTTCTTTGTATACTCTGGATATTAGGGCTCTATCTGAAGTGTGAGGAGTAAAGATTTGTTCCCAGGATGTAGGCTCTCTATTTACCTCTCTTATTGTATCTTTTGCTGAGAAAAAACTTTTGAGTTTGAGTAAGTCCCATTTGTTGATTCTAGTTATTAACTTTTGTGCTATGGGTGTCCTATTGAGGAATTTGGAGCCCGACCCCACAGTATGTAGATCGTAGCCAACTTTTTCTTCTATCAGACGGCGTGTCTCTGATTTGATATCAAGCTCCTTGATCCATTTTGAATTAACTTTTGTGCATGGCGAGAGAAAGGGATTCAGTTTCATTTTGTTGCATATGGATTTCCAGTTTTCCCAGCACCATTTGTTGAAGATGCTATCCTTCCTCCATTGCATGCTTTTAGCCCCTTTATCAAATATAAGGTAGTTGTAGTTTTGTGGATTGGTTTCTGTGTCCTCTATTCTGTACCATTGGTCCACCCGCCTGTTTTGGTACCAGTACCATGCTGTTTTTGTTACTATTGCTCTGTAGTATAGTTTGAAGTCTGGTATCGCTATACCGCCTGATTCACACTTCCTGCTTAGCATTGTTTTTGCTATTCTGGGTCTTTTGTTTTTCCATATGAATTTCATGATTGCTTTCTCTATTTCTACAAGAAATGCCATTGGGATTTTGATTGGCATTGCATTAAACCTATAGAGAACTTTTGGTAATATCGCCATTTTGATGATGTTAGTTCTGCCTATCCATGAACAGGGTACATTTTTCCATCTTCTAAGATCTTCTTCTATTTCTCTCTTTAGGGTTCTGTAGTTTTCATTGTATAAGTCTTTCACCTCTTTTGTTAGGTTGATTCCCAAGTATTTTATTTTTTTTGAAGATATTGTGAATGGAGTGGTTGTCCTCATTTCCATTTCAGAGGATTTGTCGCTGATATACAGGAATGCCTTTGATTTATGCGTGTTGATTTTATATCCTGCCACTTTGCTGAATTCATTTATTAGCTCTAATAGTTTCTTTGTAGACCCTTTTGGGTCTGCTAGGTATAGAATCATGTCATCTGCAAATAGTGATAATTTAAGTTCTTCTTTTCCTATTTTGATGCCTTTAATTTCTTTCGTCTGTCTAATTGCTCTGGCCAGTGTTTCGAGAACTATGTTGAACAGAAGTGGTGAGAGAGGGCATCCCTGTCTTGTTCCAGATTTTAGAGGGAATGCCTTCAATTTTTCTCCATTCAGAATGATGCTAGCCTGAGGCTTAGCATAGATTGCTTTTACAATATTGAGGAATGTTCCTGTTATCCCTAGTTTTTCTAGAGTTTTGAACATAAAGGGATGCTGTACTTTGTCGAATGCTTTTTCCGAATCTATCGAGATGATCATATGATTCTTATTTTTAAGTCTATTGATGTGGTGAATAACATTTATTGATTTCCGTATATTGAACCAGCCTTGCATCCCAGGGATGAATCCTACTTGATCATGGTGCACAATTTTTTTGATAAGTTTTTGTATCCGAGTGGCCAGAATTTTATTGAGGATTTTTGCATCTAGGTTCATTAGAGATATTGGTCTGTAGTTTTCTTTCTTTGAAGTGTCTTTGTCTGGTTTAGGTATCAGGGTGATGTTGGCCTCGTAGAATGAATTTGGAAGTTCTCCCTCTTTTTCTATTTCCCGAAGTAGCTTGAAAAGTATTGGTATTAGTTCCTCTTTAAAGGTTTTGTAAAACTCTGCTGTATACCCATCCGGTCCTGGGCTTTTCTTAGTTGGTAGTCTTTTGATGGTTTCTTCTATTTCCTCAATTGATATTGGTCTGTTTAGGTTGTCTATATCCTCCTGACTCAATCTGGGCAGATCATATGACTTAAGAAATTTATCTATGCCTTCACTATCTTCTAATTTATTGGAGTATAAGGATTCAAAATAATTTTTGATTATCTTCTGTATTTCTGAAGTGTCTGTTGTGATATTGCCTCTTTCATCCCGTATGTTAGTAATTTGAGTTCTCTCTCTTCTTCTCTTCGCTAGCATGGCTAAGGGTCTGTCGATTTTGTTTATTTTTTCAAAGAACCAACTTTTAGTTTTGTCAATTTTTTCAATTGTTTCTTTTGTTTCGATTTCATTAATTTCAGCTCTGATTTTAATTATTTCTTGCCTTCTACTTCTTTTGCTGTTGTTTTGCTCTTCTTTTTCAAGGATTTTGAGATGAAGTATGAGATCATTTATTTGTTGGTTTTTTCTTTTTTTAAGGAATGAACTCCAAGCAATGAATTTTCCTCTTAGAACTGCTTTCAATGTGTCCCATAGATTCCGATATGTTGTGTCTGTGTTTTCATTAATCTCTAAGAATTTTTTAATTTCTTCCTTGATGTCTTCTATAACCCATTGATCGTTCAGTAACCTATTGTTCATTCTCCAAGTGATGTATTCTTTTCCATTCCTTCTTTTATCATTGATTTTCAGTTCCATTCCATTATGATCAGATAGGATGCATGGTATTATCTCTACTCCTTTATATTGTCTAAGAGTTTCCCTGTGACATAATATGTGATCTATTTTTGAGAAGGATCCATGTGCTGCTGAGAAAAAAGTGTAACTGCTTGATGTTGGGTGGTATATTCTATATATGTCAATTAAGTCTAGGTTATTAATTGTGTTATTGAGTTCTATAGTTTCCTTATTCAACTTTTGTTTGGAAGATCTGTCCAGTGGTGATAGAGGTGTGTTGAAGTCTCCCATGATTATTGTATGGTGGTCTATTAGACTCTTGAACTTGAGAAGAGTTTGTTTGATGAACATAGCTGCACCATTGTTTGGGGCATATATATTTATGATTGTTATGTCTTGTTGGTGTATGGTTCCCTTGAGCAGTATGTAGTGTCCCTCTTTATCCCTTTTGATTAACTTTGGCTTGAAATCTATTTTATTTGATATGAGTATGGATACTCCTGCTTGTTTCCGAAGTCCATATGAGTGATATGATTTTTCCCAACCTTTCACCTTCAGCCTATGTATGTCTTTTCCTATGAAATGCGTCTCCTGTAGGCAGCATATTGTTGGGTCTTGTTTTGTGATCCATTCTACTAGCCTGTGTCTCTTGACTGGTGAGTTTAAGCCATTAACATTTAGGGTTATTATTGAGATATGGGTTGTTCTTCCAGCCATATTTGTTTATTTATGTTACTAAACATGGTTTGTTTCCTCTTTGATTATTTTCCCCCCTTTAGTGTCCTACCTCCCACTGTTGGTTTTCATTGTTATTTTCCATTTCCTCTTCCTGTAATGTTTTGCCAAGGATGTTTTGAAGAGATGGTTTTCTAGCTGCAAATTCTTTTAACTTTTGTTTATCGTGGAAGGTTTTAATTTCATCTTCCATCCTGAAGCTTAATTTCGCTGGAAACACAATTGTTGGTTGGAACCCATTTTCTTTCAGTGTTTGAAATATGTTATTCCAGGATCTTCTAGCTTTCAGAGTCTGTGTTGAAATATCAGCTGTTATCCTGATTGGCTTACCCCTAAATGTGATCTGCTTCCTTTCTCTTGTAGCTTTTAAAATTCTCTCCTTATTCTGTATGTTGGGCATCTTCATTATAATGTGTCTAGGTGTGGGTCTCTTATGATTTTGCACATTCGGCGTCCTGTTCTGTCTCTTGGTTGCAGGTCTGGCCTGCTCTGATGGTGGTCACAGTTCCGTCTACCTTGCAGGCGCCGGGGGGAGGGGGCGGCTCTGCCTCTCAGCAGGTCGCTGCTCCTCTTCTGCCGGTGGGTTGCAGGCCCGCCTACCTTGCAGGAGTGATTGGAAGCTCTGTCCCGCCGCGGGCCACTGGGCCTTTTCTGTCGGTGGTCACAGTTCCCCTACCTGTCAGACGCGGTGGGTGTGGGGCGGCTCTGCCCCTCAGCAGGCCGCTGGGCCTGCTCCGTGCATGGTCACAGTTCCCTCTACTTTGCCAGCACAGGGGGAGGGGGCGGCTCAGCCTCTCAGCAGGCCGCTGCTCCTCTTCTGCCGGTGGGTCGCAGGCCCGCCTACCTTGCAGGAGTGATTGGAAGCTCTGTCCCACCGCGGGCCACTGGGCCTTTTCTGTCGGTGGTCACCTGGCAGGCGCGGGGGGTGGGGGGTGGCTCTGCCCCACAGCAGGCCGCTGGGCCTGCTCTGTGCGTGGTCACAGTTCCCTCTACCTTGCCGGTGCAGGGGGAGGGGGCAGCTCTGCCTCTCAGCAGGTCGCTGCTCCTCTTCTGCCGGTGGGTCGCAGGCCCGCCTACCTTGCAGGAGTGATTGGAAGCTCTGTCCCGCCGCGGGCCACTGGGCCTTTTCTGTCGGTGGTCACCTGGCAGGCGCGGGGGGTGGGGGGCGGTTCTGCCCCTCAGCAGGCCGCTGGGCCTGCTCTGTGCGTGGTCACAGTTCCCTCTACCTTGCCGGTGCAGGGGGAGGGGGCGGCTCTGCCTCTCAGCAGGTCGCTGCTCCTCTTCTGCTGGTGGGTCGCAGGCCCGCCTACCTTGCAGGAGTGATTGGAAGCTCTGTCCCACTGCGGGCCACTGGGCCTTTTCTGTCGGTGGTCACAGTTCCACCTACCTGGTAGGCGCGGGGGGTGGGGGGCGGCTCTGCCCCTCAGCAGGCCGCTGGGCCTGCTCTGTGCGTGGTCACAGTTCCCTCTACTTTGCGGGCGCAGGGGGAGGGGGCGGCTCAGCCTCTCAGTAGGACGCTGCTCTTCTTCTCCTTTCCTTAATATTAAAAGAAAGAAATTGGTTAAGAAAAAAATATGTTCTGCAACTAGGAGATTGGCAAAATTACTCATCAACAGAATTTGTTTTGACAGCATCTGTAGAAACAAGGGTGGAAGTGGTGTAATTATGATGAAATGACATTTTTTAAAACATCTGTCAGTATTAACTTGTTCTTCCTATTTCTTTTCTTAAATTTTACTTTATCCTAATGTGTCTAGAATTTCTCCTTCTCAGTAATAAGTTATTCCTGATCATGTAAATTTGTGAGCATTTATAATATGACCTTCTGAGAGTTATTTTTTACAATGATCTTCTATCTGCACCATCTCTCTATAAATTGAGCTATTTATACCCTGAGGTTTGAGTTTCCATGATATTGCTGCAGTCTGATGAACAAAATTAGCATTCAGCTTATTTCAGTATCATTTGCTAATATGAATGATCATAATCCCTTTGTTGTGTTTAGACTCCTTGATGAATTATGTACTACCATTATAAATGTTAAACTGTTTTTCCTTTGGGGTCCTTCACATCTAATCTAAAACTCAGAACTTCCGTACTACAGGTGGGAATGGTTATTATTTATTATTTTTATAGCTAGAAAAGATAACTTCTTTAAGGTGGCATAAATAGTCCATTATTTAAATTTATTTTTAAAATCTTTCCAATTGTAGTTTTTAATTATATTTTAGAAATAAAGCATCATGAAGGGAGAAAAAATGGGTTTTTAGTAGAGCTGCAGATAAAAACAGAAGGACTTTAGTAATATTTTAAAGAGAATTTTTATTCTTTACTTTTAATTTGTGGTGATATGGATTCTTAGCCAGACAGCCTAATATATAGACTCTTCAAGGAAATAAGAGTTTTTGTTGCTTTCAGAAGTACTTTGTAACTGAAATTAGAGTAGCAAAATACTTCTTATTGAATATTCTACCAGTAACATTTTTAATATGATTTATCTTCAGAATTTGTTAATTATCTATAAACAAGTAGAAGATTGTGGTATGATAATTGGGCTGATGCTCTTAATCTTTTAAACTTTTTATAGTTAATTTGAAAACTTAATCCTTATAAATTTCAGATCAATTTATATAGAAGTAATATTTTCTTTTATGTAAAATAAGGCAGCCTGAATTTTACTTATTTATTTTTTCATGAAACCTGAATTTTTTCAAGTCTTGTATTTTTCAAGGAGTTAAATACATATTCATATACCCATGCATACAAATATATATTTTTATATGTATATAAAATATTATTTTTGTTTGTTTTATTTCAAGGCTTTCAGTCCTGATGGTCGTTGGTTAATAAGTGCTGCAATGGATTGCTCTGTTAGGACTTGGGACCTTCCATCTGGTTGGTGAGTTTGCTTTTAAATTCTTCAGATGATTCCTTGGTCATTGTCTTAACATGTGACTATTACCTGTAGTTAATGGATCATGTGGGTTCTTTTAACATGAATGTATTTAGGTATTTTTCTAGCATAACTATATTTTATTCTTGGAGTATTTTGAATCTTAAAACAGCAGGAAGTTGAAGCATCATGAAAAATTATTGAAAAAAGTACACATCTCTCCAAAAATGTTCTTCTGCAACGTAGATCTGTAGAAATAAATGAGTTGTATGAATCTTAAGACAGCACATTTATTCTTCTTAATACCCCAAAACAGAGCTCAGACTTTAGGACTGCAAACTTTCTGGGTGTGTTTTTGTTTTTTTATTTATTTTTTTCATATTGAATTTAATTAAAAGGTCAAATCCCTAGCTTTTGTCTTTATGCTATATCTTCTCAAAGCATAGCAGTATCAGAAATCTGTTTCATGGAGTGAAACTTAAAACGAATCCAGCACTTTCTCAGGAACTAGATAACTTCATATGTGAAAGTAGTTTGACCTTTAAAAGGGAAAAACCCTGATGTTCTCACTTCCCTTCAAGTTTTTTTTGTAGGCATGAAGCATACCTACCTATTCAGCATATACACTATATTTAGAATAAGCACAGCTAAAGTGTCACTAGTGGGTCAAACTCTAATGACTAGGGACTTTTGTCCACAGGTGTGAACCTCTTTTACTTAAAATAGAGTAAAGCATAATCTGATTTCTGCTTCAGCAAAAGTAGGTATTTCCTAAATTTAAAACTTACTTTTTATTGGTCCTGGGATTGAATCCAGGACTTTCATATTTTAGTCAAGCCCTCTACCACTTCTACCACTGAGCTGTATACCCAACCCTTTTGATTCTTTATTTTGAGACAGAGTGTCACTGAGTTGCTGAGGCTGATTTTAAATTTGCCATCCTCCTGCCTTAGCCTCCCAACTTACTGAAATAACAGGTATGTGCCACCACACCTAGCTGTAAAAACCTTGTTTTTGAAGACACTAATAGAAATATTGGTAGTATGATGCTTCTCGGCCTTTTATTATTTTCTAAAATGAACATTATATAATTTGAATTAAAGTTAGAAAGTTGTACAAATAATAGAGTTGACATAATGTGCTTACTATTTTCCTTTTTAATAATGTTGGTTCACATTAGGTGGGAGAAATAGGTTAATGTTCAGTAAGACTAAATTGGCAAAATATTTTTTTAAGTGGCAAGTTTATCTTTGGAATGAAAGAATTAGGATCTGAAATTAGCATTCAAAGCCTCCAAACTTTGACTCAGCATTAACCTTTTTGCTGAATTTTTATTACAGAAAGGAGTTGAAAAGATTTAAGCTTGAAAAATTACCTCTAGATAGGGAATAGGGGTGGAAGGGAAAGGGAGGAAGAAGAGGATGGTGAAAGGAGACCTTCATCACTATACAAAATACATGTATGAAGATGTGAATTTGTTGTCAACACACCTTATATATAATCAGAGATATGATAAATTATGATATAATGGTGTATTACGAATTGTAATGCAAAAATAAATAAATATTTTTTAAAAAAAGATTTAAGCTTGATAGGTTTACAACTCATTTTTAGGTGAACACAAGCCATTTTAGATTAATACAGAGGCATGAATACAACTGAGTATAGCACAAGAACAAGAAATGAGCCACATAGGGTTGTTCAAAGAAAATATAATAAAATCTACTGTTATTGCATATATGTACATTTTTACTAAAGAATAATAAGTAGTTCTTTGGTAAAAATTTGAAGTGCAGTAATAAAACATGTTGACAAACAATATCAAACAACTAATGCTGCTTAACTGCAACTAAACTAAAATTTGTCATGTGCTGCTATGCACATTAAATGCCTTTATTTTCTCATATTCTAATAAACACGGATATTATTATTGTTATACTGTTTTCTTCTGTACAAGTGGGAGAATGAAGGTTCAGGGAGAGATTAAGTGATTGATGAGTAGCGATTTAGTTTGTAAATGGTAGAGCAGAAAAGCAGAGGAGAATTAGTTTAGCCAACAGTTAGTTGCTCAGTGGTTTCATGTTCTAAGGATGCATTGATTTTCTTGCTGTGGAAGACAAATAATTAAAAAAGCAAGAATTAATATTTTTATCATACAACCCTAGGTAACTATTGAGTGTCTTTGATTCCCCTCTCTTTGGTCTTTCCTATATTAAAAAAAATTTTTTTAGTTATACATGGTCATAATAACTTTATTTTGCAAGGCAAGTGCTCTGTCACTGAGTAATAATCCCAGTCCCCTTCCTGGCTCTATAATAAGCAATTTCATCAGTTGTATAGCATGCTAAATATTTACAGAATGGTTATATTTGTTATTTAACCTAAAAGGTGAAGCAGTCCATCTAGCGAAACTATCGAGTAAACTTTTGGAGGTAGTAACATAGACGTACACACAACTGGAATTGTGATCTAAAATTGCGTAGTTATTGAATGGTTTACCATAAATTATTTTAAGGACTGAAATTTGTTTTTGTTTTTAAAATTGTCTTAAACAAAATTTAATATTTTTTAACCCCTGAAGTTACATTGTCATTTACCTACCTACATGCCACCACTTTTTATTTCTGCTTGTTTTTGATTTATTGGAAATTCAGGTTGAACTCTTTGGAGGAAGATAAATACATAAAATTAAATACTTTTATAATTAAATTTTGCATTTATTCTCTCTTCTCCCCCATCCTTACTTTCTGAGGAGTATAAGCATGAGAAAAATTGGAATAAAACATTGTTTTGCAATTGTCACTGAGGCAAAATTACCTCTCTCTGCTGCTCCTTAAGGATTCCTGTGGAAGGTTATTCCATTACTTTGGAGATAGACTATGTGGACACTATCAATTTTTCCAGAATAATAATCAGAAATAACTTACTTAAGGTTATCTGTATATGCAGGGCTCTGATCTTGAAAATCTGATTCCTCAGAATAGGAATGTTATTAATGTTTTTTCAGAAAATAATTATACCTGCAACTTTTCATTTTGTGGGATTCTCAGGAGACCATACAGTAGTTTCAGCTCTGGGATAAAGCCTGCACACCTAGGTTTTATGAACAAAATGACAGTGTAAAATATGGTGCATATATAGAAGCTGCCACCTCAGTTGGGAATTTTACATAATGGAAGATCAGTCTACCTGCAGTCTACAACTATAAAAATGAAGTTACACAAGAAATTGTTCCCCTAAAATATTATAGTGTCAAGTAAAGTATGTTTGCTCAATATTAATTTTTTTCTTAGCAGACAGATAGATTCTAAACATGTTAGGAAGTTTCACCCCTCACATACTTAAATTTTTGCTGAACAAGAATGTTAAAGACAAGGAAAAATTACAAGATCTGAAACTGCTGTATTTTAATTTTCATTTACATACATTGAGATAATATCTTCTGCTCGGGGTTGTTTGGATTAAAAGAATTAACATAAATAACAGTCTCTGGCTTGTAATACAAGTGTTTAGCAAAAATTTCCTTTCCCTACCTTCCCTGATTCCCAAGAAAAGCCATTCAGAGTGGTCTTGAGCAGAAATCAAACAGATTATTTCTCCCCTGTACCCCATACTTGAGAAATGACAATAGTTTCAGCAACTTGAGAGATTTTACCATATGTAAGTCTCTACTGGAGAGCCTTTTTACATTTGAATCTTTCATAGTGTGTTTCTGAATCACCAGTGTAGACATACCTTGTTTGTATATATGTATGTTATCCCATTGTTTGATATACCCTAATTTTCTATAGTTACTTTACTAAAGTTAATGTGGTTGAGAATGTAGACTGGTTGCAAATCCTGACTTAATTTCTTTCTTTTATCCTGTCAATTTTTGAAATCTTATTGGGCCTCAGTTTTCTTAGGATGGACCTGCCTTATGGGGCTGCAAGGATTAGTCAGTATAGTCAAGTGCTGAGAATACTTCCTAGCCCAGAACACTAACAAAAAAAAATCAAAAACAAAGTTATGTTGTTCTTATAGTTTGTATTTTTTGATGTAGATTCTGAACTTTAGTCATTTGATTTTTATCCTTCCGTGGATAGTGTATTGTGTTTAGTAAATAAAGTGGTTTTAAAACAGCTGTGTTTAAAGCCAGTATACTCTTCCTAAAGGTATTCCTGTCATAACCATCCTAAGGAGTCTTCCTAGCAGGTTGGGAATGAGTGCAGGTCTTTCTCTTTGCTTCTATTGAGATGTTTTTTGTTAAATGATTACTACCATAATTCACTGATATTCCTGTTCTGTGTTCTGATGGCAAATATTCTTATGAAAGTGAAGATTGTACCATTGTGTGCTCAAAAATATCAGTGACTTCCTATCAGCTATAATATAAAAACAAATTCAGATGTTTGATGTTCCAGATTCTGTATGCTTCCACCCAACTGTATTACTCACTATACCCAAGTACTTTTTTTTGTTGCCTTTCACATTTCCCTCAGCGAGGAAATGCTTTTTCTACCATCAGCATCCTTTGAAATCCTGGCCATTCGTAAGGCTCAGCTCAAACATTGTGTTCTCTCTGAAGCCTCTTCTAAAAGAGTCTCCTACCTGGGTGTGGTCACTCCCCTTTCCTTTTCAACTTTTAAAACCCCTTTAGCACTTTAAAGCTGCAGGACTAGTTTCTATAAGCTGCTTTATGTTTAATCTCTGAAGACTGAAGGTTCGTACTTTTTCATATATAGCACTGCTACCTATTTGGAAAACAGGTAGAATTGCTCAGAAGTTTTTCTGTCATTATTCTCTTATTATTTACTGCCATTTTGTTGCCTTAGCCTTTTATTGTTCGCTGGAGTTAAAAAAAAAAAAAAAGATACAGGAGCGTACTGATAATAGATTTATTTTCAATGTGTAATGTCTTTAAAATTGCCCTTAAGTCAATATAACAAAATTTGGTGTTAGAAAAATAGAGCATTTTTTCCTGTATTCTCCCTAAAGTTAATTAATATAATAAGTAGTTTTGAGTCTTTCTCATTAAGAGATTATTTTCACATAGTAAGTTAGTTAACAGAACTGTATGTGTGATGACTTTCTGGTGGTAGGTAATTAAATTTTTTTTCTGAATCTCATTCCTTATTCTTTGAGCAAAAATAATTTTTGTGCATTATATCTTTTTTAGTAAAGCTTAAGTACTTTAACATCTTAATTCTTCTTGCAGCCTTGTAGACTGTTTTTTGTTGGACGCAGCTCCTCTCAATGTTACTATGTCCCCTACTGGAGACTTTCTAGCTACTTCCCACGTGGACCACCTTGGAATTTATTTATGGTGAGTTTTTTCATACAGTACTGTTTTAGGAGTAGGAGAAGAAAAAGGATAATAGTGATATTGTCAGAATCATGGTTATTAAGTTGCCATTTAGTTGTGTTTTTTTTTTTTTAATACATGGAAATGTCAATACACTGATAACTCACTATAAATTTTATGACTGATTCAACATTTGCTTGATAATTTTAACAGCTTTCCTCAAGTGCATATTGTAAATTATATGATCATATTTGGCTTTTTTTTTGCAGAAAGGGTAAATGGATTTAAAAGGTTAGAAAAGGAATTTAAAAGGTTAGAAAAGTAAAGTTTCCACCCAAGCCCTCACCCTCTTTCTAGTATCCTACTATGGCTGTATGACTTTAACTAATCCCTTCTGAACATTACTTACTTTATCTATAAAATAAGGCATAATGCTTTCTAACATTGATCCTAGTAGGAAGACTCTACTAACCTTGTAAAGATGACTTATGGTGATCTTCAAATTCTAAGATTGAACTTTAGGCTGTGATTATTCTAGATCCCCTGGGTCTAGAAAAGTGTAATCTTTGTCTTGAGTTCATATATCTAATTCTTTTAACTCTTATTCTTGGGGAAGAGGAAAAAATTGATTCCTTTTCTAATTCTAGTTACATGATGTTATTACATTTTTAAGATAAAAAGGTAAATTTGATATGTAATGGAAATAGATTTTGGCCATCTTAAGAAACAAAATTATTATTTCCCAGAATCAATGAAGCTTCAACCATTAAAATAAAAGGATAATAGTAGCTATGATACCTGCCATAGGAGAATGAACTTCTTTATGTAGAACTGATATTAATTAATGTTAATTCAGGACCTGAGAATCTAAATTTTTTACTTCTCATTTGAGATTCATAATATGTGAGTAGAAGAATCTGTTCCTGCTTTGGGATAGATGTCAATATCTTGGTTACAAATCTATGGCTTACCTGCCAGGTCAAGTAGCAGAAACATGGCCACTTAAGTGCACCACTCTAGAAAAGGGAAATCTATGACTTTTCAGCAGCACCGAGAATTTGGTCAGCATATTCCGTCTCTGAGTCCATCTTTCCTTTTATAATTTCCTTAAATGAAGTTGATATTTATTAAAATAATATTATGGAGGTTATTTTACCTTATGAAAGTATTATCTACTTCTGATCTCTTTTAAATGTGTTTTTGTACTACTTTAAAAATAGAGATTCTGTTAATTTCTTATACAGTATTTTTTTGTGATGGCATCTTTGACCTAAATGAATGCATTTTTAATCTTTAAGGTCTTTTCTTAACTAGTTGGTGATTGTAGTCTGTGGCCCAATTCAAGATGTAAAGATTATTAGCAGATATTGACATTTCTGTGAAGAAACATAACTTTTAAAATATTGTTTCTGTTTTGATTTCTCAGGTCTAATATTTCCCTGTATTCAGTTGTCTCATTACGGCCACTTCCTACAGATTATGTTCCTTCAGTAGTGATGCTTCCTGGGACTTGTCAAACCCAAGGTAACCACAAAATAGCAAAGTAATTTTGATATTATTTTAAATCTAGTTTAAGGGCTGTTGCTATAGAAGGCAGAGCGCAATACATTTAATCAAAGTTTTTAAACTGTGATATGAAATATTGTAAGTGACTAAAATTTATGCAGAAATATAATACATATAGTATCTATACAATACTAAATAAAATGCTAGTTAAAAGCATTTTAGTTCTTATGATGTGAGTTGTAGTTAATATGAGAAAATAAGGAAAGGGGATAAGCAAAGGAAATAAATGAAAAGAGTTTACAAGGCTATATTAACTGAACGTGTTACAGAATATAAATGGATTTGGAATGATTAAATTTGGTTTTTATGATAAAATTCTCATTTCACATTAATTTCTTTTACCTTAAAAATATGTATTTTTTAAAGATATAGATATAACAGAAGAAAATGTAGAACCAAGTGATGAAATGATAGAGTATGATTCACCAGAACAGTTGAATGAACAATTGGTGACTCTCTCACTTCTCCCTGAATCACGGTGGAAGAACCTTCTTAATCTTGATGTTATTAAGGTAATGTTATAATACATTTAATATGAGTTTCAAGCACACATTCCACAGGCAGGGCTTTTGTTTGTTTGCTTGTTTGCAGAATTAACTTCCCCTACATTGAAGGCATTAGGAAGAGAGCAGTTAACATAGCAAAAGTAATGCCACTTAATTGAATGCCATTTTATCTATTCTGATTATCCCAAAGTAATCAACATTGATAGTCCTTTGTAGATGTTTGGATGCGGCCTAAATATAATCTATAATCTACAGAGCTATTGGAAGTTGAATTTTTTTTTTTTTAAATCCAGTCTAATAAATTACTTTCTAAGCTTCTAAAATGAGAGGGGAAAAAAATTGCTACTATAATTTGTGTATCTACTAATACGTGTTTGGAGGCAAGAAAATTTCACTAATTTTTTAAGCTTTTTAATTAAGCATCTGTCATCCCATAACCTACTTTGTTAACTAAAAAATTTTTTAGAGCTTTTGTGTCAGGGTCACAAACATAAATTAACATGACATAGGTACTAGATAATGTACTGAGACTACAGCAGTTACAGTAAACTGAGGCTCTGTGTCCTTTAGGAATTTAAAATTTCACATGAAAAATGATTATCTGTGGTATATGTTAGTGAAGTGTATTTTTATGGCCCCTAATTGTAAGTAGCAAAAGCAATTGAAAAAAACAGAATAGAGTAGAAAATTCCAAGTTATCTTCTGATGGTACAAGTATTGTTTTGTGAAACTTGATTCAATTATGTATGTGTACACACATATACACCATCACTAAGCTTATGTGTGTAGTAAGGCACACCATGAGCTGTGATTAAAAAGTTTTAGGAATACTGATTCAGATACCTATAACAAAATGTAGTAATTATTCTAATAATTTAATATCAAGGAACACTGCTACAGGTATCTATAATTTAGAAAAGCCCAGGTTAAGAGTAGCTATGGTTACGTGACCAATGTAATTCCATATCATATACCACAAAATGGGAAATTATACTCCATGTACATATGATACTTGTCAAAATACATTCTACTGTCATGTATAACTAAAAAGAACAAATGAAAAAAAAAAGAATAGCTGAGGTATTAGGTCAAATGGATTTTAGCATTCTAATCTGAAAAAGTTCATCTTTTTTACTTTTTGATATTTGTGTTTAAATTGATTTGGAATTAAATATTAGAATCTGTTGGCAGGATAACAACTTACTAGTCTTTTTCTCATTTTCTCTTAATCAGAAAAAGAATAAACCAAAGGAACCACCCAGAGTACCCAAATCAGCACCATTTTTTATTCCAACGGTCCCTGGCCTTGTACCCAGATATGTTACACCTGAACAAAATAATGATCCCCAGCAGGTAAACACCAAATTGAAACATTATAAGTATATGGGAGACTTCATCCCACCCCAGTTAGAGTGGCAAGAATACAAACAATAGTAAATGTTGGCAAGGATGTGGGGAAAAAGGTACACTCATACATTGCTGGTGGGAATGCAAATTGGTGCAACCATTAAGGAAGGTGGTATGAATATTCTTCAGAAAATTTGGAATGGAATCATCATTTGACCCAGCTTCCCACTCCGAGAGAGAGAGAGAGAGAGAGAAAGGGGGGGGAGGGGGAGAGGGGGGGGAGGGAGGGAGAGAGACGGAATATTACTCACCCTTAAAGAAGAATGAAATTATGGCATTTGCCAGTAAATGGATGGAGTTGGAGCATATCCTGCTAAGCAAAATAAGCTGATCCCCAAAATCCAAAGGCCAAATGTTTTCTCTGATATGTAGATGCTAATTCACAATAAGGGGTGGGGGGCTAAGGAAGAATAGAGTTACTTTAGGTAGAGGGGAATGAAGGAAGTAGGGAGGGAATGGGGGTAAAAATGTTAGTGGTATGAATCAGACATTATTACCCTATGTACACATATATAACTATAGGACCGATGGGATTCTACATCATGTACAACCAGAAGAATGAGAAATTATACTCCATCTGTAGATGATGTATCAAAGTGCATTCCATTGTCATGTATAACTAATTAGAACAAATTTTTTAAAATATGGGGAGTGTATGTTTGCATATATTTTGTATCATTTTTTATTAAGATTCAGTTTTGCAAATACGGAGTAAATTATTGATAGTTTGTAATTATCAACATTAATTTTTGGTGATACCTATGTTCTTTGAATAATGTGTGTTTGTTTTTGTTTAAGTCTAAAGTTGTAAATCTTGGGATCTTAGCTCAGAAGTCAGATTTCTGCTTGAAACTTGAAGAAGGACTGGTAAATAATACGTGTAAGTTAAATTATAAAATATTTTAACAAGTATTTGCAGCTTATTTTATGTGACAAAAAATTAAAGGAAATATTAAATTCCTAAAAGAAAGTAGCTAAAAGGATATAGTAAAAACTAAAAGGATTGAAATTTTAGTTCTAATCTGAACTGATTTACCTTTTAAATTATATTAAATGAGTCACACTAAACTCAGGTGATATTGATATTGCAAAAATCCATGGAAAACCCCACATACTTTCTTCATGAAAAATTAGATTTTCTGGACTGAGGTTGTGGCTCAGTGATGGAGTGCTTAAAGGTACATTGACAACTAAAAGAAAATAATTAAAAAAAAAAAAAAAAACAGATTTTCTGTTTTTTTTTTTTTTTTTTTTTTCCAATTTGGAGAAGGGTAAATTTTGACAACTTTTATAATGAGGATCTTGGTATGTATCAAATATAACAATTTTGTTATAGGTAATTTTCAAGCTTTTTGTTTTTATTTATATATTTGATTTGGAATGCCATTTTCAGTACAACAGAGACTTGTCTTAAGTAATTTTATATTTCCGTATTATCTTATAGAAATTTTATAATGTATAGAGTTAAATGTGCTAATATATTTAAAATTTGAAGGTGATAGTCTACAGCTAATACTAATGAAACTATTAACTGTAAGCAATTGTAAAGATCATAAGTAGTCTCCTGAAACATTTGATCTATCCTTTTGGTTTATGATCCTAATGCTTTTGTTTTTATGAAATCCACATGGGCAAAAGTGAAAAGATGCCCTTGAAAGACTTGTATTTTGGGGTGACAAACAACAAAAACCACTATTATTCAAAATATACTGAGTGACATAAAAATAATATTTTTATAGCCTTTTGTCATTGGTGGTGTTTCAAAAAGCTGAAAGCAGTCATTGCCATTACAGTATCAAATCTCATATAAAATGGTTTGTTGAGTATATTTTTGTAGAGTGCATATGAAACAATTATGAAGTAGGTTTGAAGGATCAGAAGAAGGCCTGGCACCTTTCCCTTCTTATATATTTTTGTATTGTTACTATTTCTTAGTTATCATGTACTTTTACAATTTTGTAATAATAAAATGGAGAAAGAAAAAAAACTCTACCTTATCTTATACCCAGTGGTAATTATTGTTAATAGTTTGTTATGTACCTTGATAGTCTTCCTGTGTTAGAATTTGTTCTAATTGATTTGTGAGCACCTTGAAGTGTGTGTCATGAAGCATTAGATTTTATTTAAGAGCAGGAAAGAAAGTTTAAATTACTATAAATTCAGAAAATTTAGTGCTTTCAATATTTTTATTGTATTGATTTTGTTATTTTTGCTGATTTTCACTCATTGGGAGTTTATTCTACTGCTTAACATAAAAAAATTAACACTTAAAATTTCTGATGCCATTTAAATATATCTCGTGTGGGGTATGAAAGAAAAACTGTAGCTTCTTAGTAAATGTAGATAATAATGGGATTCCTTTTAAAACTTAATGCAGATGAAGCCGCTCTCAGCCTTCTGAAAGAAATGGGCCCATCAGGAATTGAAACAGAGCTAAGGAATTTGTCTCCTGACTGTGGTGGATCTATAGAAGTCATGCAGAGTTTCTTGAAAATGATCGAGATGATGTTGGACAGAAAGCGTGATTTTGAGTTAGCCCAGGCATACCTTGCATTGTTTCTAAAAGTAAGTCTAATATTTTCTACCTTCCTTCCTTAGCAGCATTATCTAGTAGAACTTTCTGCAAAGCTGGGAATGCTATACATTCACACTCTCCTATCTGATAGCCATTTGCCTTCTGTGGTTGTTCAATATAGAAAATATGACCAGTGTGACTTAGAAGACTGAATTTTTAATTTTTTAGAGTTTAAATAGTCACATGTGGCTAGGAACTACTGCACTGAAGTAGTTGGACCACATGGTTTGTTAATCTTTACTTTTTATTATAATTTTATTACAATATCGACTGTACCTTGTAATTTTCCTATGTCATCATTTGATCCAATGTACTAAACCATTAACTTTTTGTAAATAGTTATATTTTATGTTTTTCTTGATCATAAAGAAAAAGTCAGATTTTATATTTGGTTTTTCTACTGCTGAAAACAAAATATTCACCTCTATTATAGTTGAAGGAGTTTCAAGTGATTTGACACAACAGTTGCTTTTATGATTAACAGAATAGAGAGAATAGAGAGCTTGTGTTTTGAAGGTCTTCTTTAATAGTCTAATGCATTGAAGGATAGATGATGCTCATTTTTAGTAATACATGATTTTTTATCTGTCTCATTAATTATTTAAAACTTATTTTCACTTGATCTAATTATTTTTAAATTATTAAAAAGCTAGACAGTAACATACAAGGTTGAACAATAGAAGTGCCACAGATTATATTTGTATATTTTTCCACATTTACCAAGTTTAGTTAGAGTTAGTGTTAGAAATAGGACTTTGGTTCAGGACTTTTGTTTGATGAACAACGATGACCACTTCAGTTCTGCTGAGGGAGTGACAGTCCATCAAGGAAGTCATGATTTAGAAAAAAAATAATGAACAAGCGGGAAATCAGAGAGAATAATAAACCAGCATTTAAAGGAAAAAATTAGCATTTTCTTGGGCTCCTTGGTAGGAAAAAAAAATCCAAATCAGGTAAAATTTTAATTTTCTTAAATAAAATATCTATCATTTTTCTTTTCAGTTACACCTTAAAATGCTTCCTACAGAACCAGTACTCCTAGAAGAAATGACAAAGTTGTCATCACAAGTGGAAGAAAGCTGGATTCATTTACAGTCCCTCTTCAATCAAAGCATGTGTGTTTTAAATTATATCAAAAGTGCTTTGTTATAAAAAAAACCGTAAGTGATTAAAGAAAGCAAAGATTTTTATTAGATGGGTTCAGTGTGAAAAAAGTGCAGCACTACAGAATAGTAAATAACTCAGTACTTTAAATGCTAAATACTTTCTTGAAATAAAATTTCCCCCACTTTTGTTTGGAAAGCCTTAAGAATCTACTCAGATAACTTACTTTGAGTTCCTTCATTTTAGGTACTTTTATGGCTTTTTAAATTATTGTTGTCAGCATGTGTTTTTTAATATGTTACATATAAGAGATACTACATATTTAGTGTGAAGTACTGAATTAAGTTAAAGATATCAGTTGTAAGGGATCTGTAATATAGTTATAAAAATGCCCTTATGAAGAAAAAAGGAGTGTTTCCTTCCTTGATAGTTTTTGATGAAATCATGGCTCTTATTGTTGGAAGGCATTTTGGACATCATCTAGTACTGCCTTCATATGTGGTTGAAGAAGAATCAGTATAAGGTCACTGGGATCTCAGTGATGAATCTGAATTTCTAATACAGGCCTAGTGCTTTTTCCACTGTCAATCATGAAGGAACTTATTCTTGGATCAGAAGTATGATGGGCACTTGCCCAAGGCAAATTGTTATAGAAAAAGATTGAATGGATACCCATAATAGGAAAGGGGAATTCCAATTTCTATTGAAGGTTGTCCTTAAAAGAGATTTTCCTTCTTCACGGATGACTTGCTTTATTTGGGAAGAAACTGCTGACTCTTCTTTTCTGTCTCAACTATTGCAAAACCTGGAAGATCTGGCAGTTTTCTCTTTCCTCATCATTTTCCTTTTTATGTTTCAGTACTTGAGCAATACATAAGTTAAAAATAAGCAGTTCTTAAAATTAAAAGCACAGTGTTCTAAAAAACTGCTTTTATTTAGTACACTCAAAACTAGTGTCATTCCTAAAATGCAGCTGGTTAGATTTAGACACCAATAACATTCTTGTTAAATATTAGAGTTTTACAGACTAATCTCCTCCCAAAAAAGCAGTCCTTAAAAGGAATTGACTAAGAAGGAATTTAATGTTAAAATGTTTTTATTTAATAATGTAGAATTAGTAAACTAGGGAAGTAAGTTTGTGTTCAGTTTTGGTTATCTTTTAAAAATATATATCAATTTGTTAAAGCCACTAACTGAAATGTTAATAATGATTTAAGTTCTGCCTTTAAAAACTGACCTGAGGGGCTGGGACTATACCTCAGCGGTAGAGCACTTGCCTGCCTAGCCTGAGGCACTGGGTTCAATTCTCTGCATCACATTAAAAATAAATAGTTATTGTGTCTATCTACAACTAAAAAATATATTTAAAAAAAATTTAAAAACTTTCCTGAGTATGATTTCCCCTGTTCTCAACATAATTATTGTAGAAATATGGCAAAAATACAGTATGCAGTCGTATACCTTGTAAAGATTGTAAATAGCTAAAACAAATGATAATAACTATCAACAGAAATCATTTTTTTAACAAATCATGAACTGAAATTTTTTATATTTTCAAATGAGAGTATTGAGTTGAATATGTTATTTTTATTGGAGATATCTTTGGATAGTATTACCCACATTAGTTTGGCAGGTTACCTTCCAGAAGCTTTTCTATGCATTTACCATCAAAGAGGGAGGGGAAAAGAACATAAAGTATAATTTTGTATATATTTTTTAAAAATCAGTCTGTGTATATTGCTGTATCTTTAAATTTTAAATTAAACATAATAAGTGATGTCAGACATCTTTTTTGACAACTCTTCAATCTCTGTATATAACCACAGGAAATAAAATGTATAGTTTTGGTTTTTTACATAAAGATCTTTACATCATTCTGCAACTTGCTTTTACCACTTGTTTTTTTTTTTTTTTTTTTTAAATATTTATTTATTTTTTAAGTTTTCGGCAGACACAACATTTTTGTTTGTATGTGGTGCTGAGGATCAAACCTGGGCCGCACACATGCCAGGCAAGCGCGCTACCACTTGAGCCACATCCCCAGCCCACCACTTGTTTTTTATTTTAGTACATTCTCATTGAACTGATCTTTATTTTGCATCATGTCCCATAATCTGTTTGGCCTAAAATGGACACTTAGGTAGTCCTCCCTTCTAATTCTAAACAGAGCTGGAGTGAACATCATCTTATGTGAGTCTTTATGTGCATGTAATAATTTCTCTGTAGTAATTGCTTAGAATTCGAATTGCTGGGCCAGAGGATAAGTATTTTTAATTTAAAGAGATACTTCCATCCAGTTGGCTTCCAAAATGACTATCATGTTTACAGTTCCCCTCAGCTAAGAATGAGCAGCTACTTCCCCTTCTCATGGAACTCTTTAATAAAATCTTTATAATTTTTATTAACCTAATGAGTGAAAAAATTTATTTTAATTCAGATGAGCATCTTTTCATGTTTGTTTTAGACCATATTTTTTGGTGAGTTATCTTTTTCTTCTTCTCATTTTTTTATTGAATGATTTGTCTTTTTATCTCATGGATTTGGTTAAGTTTTTATAAAACTTAGATATTGGTCTATGTCTGTTTCCAATGTTTTTTCCCAGTTGACTGCTTGTCTTTAACCTTAGTTAGCATTTCTTTTTTTTTTTTAAAGATAGGAGAGAGAGAGAGATTTAATATTTATTTTTCAGTTTTCGGTGGACACATCTTTATTTTTATGTGGTGCTGAGGATCGAACCCAGCGCCCCGTGCATGCCGGGTGAGCGCGTTACCACTTGAGCCACATCCCCAGCCCAGCATTTCTTTTTTTAATAGAGATTTTATATTTTTATATAGCCAAATTGATCAATTTTGTCTTATTCTAAGACATTAATCATATTTTTTTAATCTTGTTTATATTTGTTCATTTTGCAGTTGTATTTTCTCCTGCAATGTGCATCTGTGTGAGTTGTTAATGTCTAGATCTTTATCTGTAATTGTGTGACTAAAGTAAGGTATAGACATGCCTAAATTCAAATGTCTTCAAAAATAATTTATTGAAAAATTAATTCTTTTGTCTCTGATTTGAAATTCTGCTTCATTAAATGTACTAAAATCTTTTATTGAGCCATTTTATATTTCTAATAAATGTATTACTTTGATGGTACTTGTGGTATGGTTTCAGATTTAGTGGGATAGAGCCCTAATATTTTTCAAAAATTTTTTGGCTACTGGTGAGCGTATTTTCTTGAAGTTATGATTTGGATTGTATTATATTAGTAGGATTAATTTATAGAAAACCATAATACTGAGTGTTTTTAGTTAAGCACACTGTTTTTCTTCATTACATCAAATTACTTGTGGGCAAGCATTTCTTGGTTTCATAGATTTTTAAAATATAGATTTTTTTGACAAATTTATTTCTGGGGTTTTTATTTTTGTTATATTGAAATCTCTTTTTCTAATATATTTTATAAATGGTTATTGCTATTATAAAAGCATTTTGATTTTTATATGGCTATCTGTTGTGACACTGCCAAATTCTTTTAAGAGTCTGCGGATGTATTCTTAACTTAGAAAATCGAAGAGAATCCCATTCTATGATTGCTGAGATTTTATTTTTTATCAATTATTCATAGTTCATATAGTTGTTTAGAATCAGGATTGCTTTAGCTGGATCTGGCACAAAATGTCAAATACTGACAAACAGCACAAGTTTTTGTTTTGTTACTGACTTCAGGGGAAATGCTTGTTAAATGTTCTTTCATGAAGGATGATGTGTGCTCTGAGTTTGTGGTAGATATCCTTTGTTAAATTCTAATTCTGTTTCTAACTTGCTGCTCTAAAAATTTAAACTACAGGTATGTGTAGAGTTTTGTCAAGTGATTTTTTTCAGCTTATCTTGAAGGATCAAGATCTTTAATTGGTGTAATATAATGAATTTTAATCACATATTTCCTATATTGAATCATGTTTAATTCCTGGGATAGTACTATTTCTAATTAAGATATAACTGTCCATTTTTCCATTTCTTAGAATTTTATCTATCTTTGATTTTTTTTTAAATTTTCTACTCAAAGTGGGAAAAGCCCTGCCTAGAGTCTTTATTACATCATAATTTTTTTCTATTTGATTTTTTCTGTTTACTTACTATTGAGCTTTTTATCTTTTCTCAAGATAATATTGATTTATGTTTTCCTTACCAATCACAAGATTTACTGAACTTTCCAATACATAGTGTAAATTTATATATAGGTTTATGCCTTTTTTTATTAATTGCTGCTTACAAGTGAAGGAAGCCCAACTCATACATAATAGTGTTTGCAAAATCTAGCAATAAAATTGGCTTCACCTGTTGCTAGATTGACAGGTTCCTTGGAAATCAGTTTCTCCAGTTCCCCTTTTTGCTCTCCTCATTATTAACTAACTGCTCAATCAAGATTTATTGAGAACCTACTATGTTCTAGTATTTCTTATTAGTACTGGGAATGTATCCATGATCAGAACTTGAGGCAAGGTAGCTCCCAACAGTTCTGAATTTACATATTCTTCTGAAACTAACTAGAAAGGAGTTCTCTTTAAACAAGTCCTAAACAGATTTCAATGTGCCTACTTAAACTTTGAACCTATCACTGTGGCCAGAGAGATTTATTAGCTGGGTGCTTTATTAGCTGGGTTTGGTCACGTGGAACTCTGAAAAAGAGATGGAAACAACCATGCAGAGCCACATGAGTTGAGAAGGTAGAATAACTACCCACGGAAATGGGTTCTGTGAGTAGATGAAGGGGAGAGGCAAGCAGAATTGCAAAAATTGCATCTGTCTAAAAATACATTTCTTCCTGGAGAAAGTTTTATACGAGGATCTGGGGAAGCATTCTTAAAACTTTGTGTGTACTTACAAGTTCTATATATTCATTAAATAAAAGCACTGTGAGTAGAATATTTGAAATACATACTTTTTTGTTTCAAGGAACTAAATTAGCATTGTCAAATCAGAGTACACCAAGATCCAAGGCATTGAAAAATTTTACTGGTGTGACTGGATTTTTAAATTACATTTTATATCATCTTATTTAGGACTCTTGATTGTAAATTATAGAAAATTTTAGTGTTTAAGCAGAAAGGAAAATTTATTTTAAGAATTTAAAGGCACCTTCATAAGGGTTAAGTTATTTCATTTTCTGGACCTTTTTGTGACCAGGATTGAAACACTGATAAACAAAAGAAATATTCTTTCTTCAGCCTTTCTTTGCATGCTTCTTCATTCCTTTCATTTCAACTCACTGATGCACACCCACTTCCCAGAGGCCAGGATTAGGTGCTGGGGATTAAGATTCCTCCTTCCCAGGTACTCAGTATCTCACTTCCCTCTCCATCTACAAGACTGAGAGGGAAATGGATCCCTTTTCTTTTTCCTTTCCTTTCCCCTTCCCCACCCACTCCCTCCCTTCTCCTTCATGACCCCCCCCAAACTTCTCTCCCTATATCTCCTCTCCCTCTCTTCTTCCTTCTTTCCTCTCCCCTCCCCTCCCCTTTCTTTCCTCTCCTCCTCCTTCCCCTCCTCCTCCCCCTCCTGCCATCCTCCAAGGATGATGAGAACAAAATAGGGAAGGCTTTTTCCCTCCCACTTCCTATATTCACCTCTCTTGTAGTCCTATTATGCTAAAATGGGGATTACACTTTCAAAGGATAGAAAAGTATCCTCTCACTTAAAAATCCTTTTTTGAATGTTTGAAGATGAGTGTTAGCATAGTATTTTACTTTTAAACCCTGAAAACAAAACAAAAATACTGGTCTCCTTCCAAGAAGACAGTTGCTTCACATTTTCTGAGAAAAGATGACCCCTGTCTGGTGACAATTTTAATTGGTGATTTTGTTTTCCAAAAAAATCTAGTGGTGTGGGGACTTAATGATGAGATTTAGTTATAAAAGAACTATAGAGATGTTTTTAGTATCTATGCACTGTATGATGAATTCCAATTTTAATTATACTAATTTCCAATTTGAACAAAATCTACTAAATATCTCCAAAAGGGCATGCAAAATATTTATTATTTAGTTTTCATCTGTGTTTTATAAGGTATTTGTTAACTTTTATATGTAGAAGATGATTTAATGTTCACTAAAAAAAAAAAATGGTATAAATCCTAGCATGTAGTTGTTTTTAATTTTTTAGTTGTAGACTGACACAATACCTTTATTTTATTTATTTTTATGTGGTGCTGAGGATCGAACCCAGTACCTCACAGGTCTGAACCATGACCCAAGCCTCTAGCTTTTAGCAATACCATTTATTTGCTAACTATGGCCAAGAATGGATATTTCAGTGCAGGTTTTGCTATCATTTTTATTTTTGTCTGCTATCTCTGACTAAATTCTATTCTTTTTAGCTCATTTATTTTAGTTCTTTTTCTCATCTGAAATTTCCATGTGGAGCCACTGTCCCATAACTTTTGGCTCATTTCCCCCCATTAGAGTAAATATTATGCAAGCCTAGTGGGCGAATTAGTGGCAAACAAATGGGATGTGGAAGTCTGGACCCACCTTCCTGCATGGATTGAGTCTCTGAGAAGTATAATACACCAAGTGTTCACTGCCCCAAGGGCTCAACATCCAGCACACAATGTCATGCTCCTACCCACCTGCCTGCCTGCCTGCCATCATTGATTTATTCTGTCTTTTGTCAAATACTTAGCACTTGCTCTGTCTTACATGCAGTGGTATGTATTTCAGAAAATAAAACATAAAGACCCTAACCATTCATACATTCATACCCTGGTCTCTATGCCTCTGACCTTCATACATGCTCACATCCTATATTATATAGATATATGTAGCTGGCCCGATTTTATTTCTTTCTGGAAGGTGGTCGCTGGAAGCTACCTGAGTCACTGGACCTTTCCTAAAACTCCAGGCCATCACTTGATCTGACTACACACTTATTTGGATATAAGCCTGTGACTCTGGTTCTCTGAGAGGAGCGATGGTCTCCAGGTGAGCACTGGGCCCTGTTTTCCTCTCTATGCACCCACTGATATGAATTGGGAGAGCAGATGCAGGGAAATGCCATGAGTCACCAGGAACTCCTCCAGAAAGTGATGGGAAGGGCAGGCTTGGCAGAAGAGATCCTCACCTAAGCTGTGTGGTACGTGCCTGAGATTTCCCAGAAGTCATGAGGAATGTTGGGTGGAAAGTTTCACTCTCTTTCAGCAATGAACAGAAATAATCCACTTGATTCCATGTGAACTGAATGATGAATGGCTTATCTCTAAGCCTTACCAGAGCTCAAAGAAGGAAACTACCACTTCCTTTCCTCCTGGGAAATGGCAGTTACTTTGCAAATATGCTACATCTTACATCACTTGAAACCAATCTTATCTCTAAAAACTGCTGATTTTTTTAAGCTCTTAAAATGTTTTATGTAACAAAACTTTAGAACAAATAGCATTGCTCAGAGGCACTTAAGTAAATGAGATCACAGGGGAAAATGGCTTCTGCTTCCCTCTCTGGTCACTGCCCCACTGGTCCTGTCCACTGCTTGAGTGCACCTGGAGGCTTCTTCTGTTCCCACTGCTCTGCCTCTGCCCATTCTGCCACCCTCAGCTGAATTTCCACATTTTCTATAGAGCTCAATTCAACATATGCACATGACAGGTATTCCATAAATCCCTAATTAAGCAGTTTTTGAAGAGTAGTCCTGGGTTCCCTGCAGTTCCCTGAAGTCTATTTTAGATGGTCAGCAAATTATTATGAAAAAGTATTTTTGTATGAAGACTAGATTACTTGACTCTTTTTACTCTCAGTGTTTCAAGTACAGGAAATATCAGTAGATATAATCCTTTACATGGATTGATGGGTCCCTTAATTCATAAGGTCTTGGGGAGTCCTGAAGTAAAGGATATTAAGGATCACTTCCCTTTTTGGTTAAAGAAACAGCCTTGCTGGGAGGTGGTGGCATGTGCTATGTGGTACCCAATTCTCATCTTTGAGAATGACTTAAATTTAATGACTTAAAATACTTAAGATATGGAACGTGCATCAGAACTACTCTTACATCCTGTAAGTGGACCAGTGGTATTAGGGTGGCTTTCATGTATGAAGAACATCAGATTTAGTTGGGATCTGTGGGTTTTGAGTTTAGTTAGGACTAGGTGGTAAACTTTAGGA